GGCGGGAGATACCAAAGGGAAATCAATGTAAGGAAGAGGCGGTAGATACCAAAGTGAGAATCAATGAAAGGAAGAGGCGGTATATACCAAAGTTAGAATCAATGTAAGGAAGAGGCGGTAGATACCAAAGGGAAATCAATGTAAGAAAGAGGCGGTAGATACCAAAGGGAAATCAATGAAAGGAAGAGGCGGGAGATACCAAAATGAGAATCAATGTAAGAAAGAGGCGGGAGATACCAAAGGGAAATCAATGTAAGGAAGAGGCGGTAGATACCAAAGTGAGAATCAATGTAAGGAAGAGGTGGGAGACACCAAAGGGAGAATCATTGTAAGAAAGAGGCGGGAGATACCAAAGGGAAATCAATGTAAGGAAGAGGCGGTAGATACCAAAGTGAGAATCAATGAAAGGAAGAGGCGGTATATACCAAAGTTAGAATCAATGTAAGGAAGAGGCGGTAGATACCAAAGGGAAATCAATGTAAGAAAGAGGCGGTAGATACCAAAGGGAAATCAATGTAAGGAAGATGCGGAAGATACCAAAGGAAAAAATCAAAACTCTTTAACCGAAGAAAGACAGACAAAAACATGGCAAAAACGTCGACAAAAACAAAAACAGTTTACAAAACACTACAAAAAAAAACACACAAGACTGAGCAACAGGAACACCACCAAAACCGGACTGATATTAGGAGCTCCAGAAAGGTAAATATATCCACACGTAGCACAATTGAGGAAAAGTGAACGTAGGTGAAACTGATTAGACGATAAGCTTGGCTCAGTAGAGAGATGTACGAAGAAAATAAATAATGAATTTAAGCTATACTTTAATAAGAATTTTTTTTTTTCAACACCTTACGGATTTTTTTTTATTCGAGTCTCATTCATTGGTCAAAAGGAGGTCAGTGGCCCGTACATGTGATGTAAATGTAAGTTGCATGTAAAGTCTTTCTTTTACAGCGTGGAGTAAAATAAACTTTATGTTCGGTCAACCTTAATGTTGTTTATCTGATGGTAGAGTTGATAAGATGACGAATCGTGCGACTTTGGGACTTTTCCTACAAAGTACTTGTACCGCCCAAAGACAGAATCATTGGAACCGAAATCAATCATAAACATTCAATCACGTAAATTTCTTCTTGTAAAAGACATGTAAACGAATAAAACACTTTCTAGACAGTTTGTGAAGGAAAATGAAGTTATCCTGTTGTGTTTTGATTTTAATTCAGCTTGTCTCACTGATCAGCGGCCAGATGTATAGCAGGCGTTTTTATCAGGAAGGGTTCCAATCTGCTGGATACAGTCCATTTCCGTTCGGTGGACATCCGTTTGTAGGCAGAGGCGGTCACGGTGGATACGATGGGGGACACGCCCATACACATGTCCACTACCATGGTGGAGGATTTGGTGGAGGGTTTGGAGGAGGCGGATTAAGAATTAGATCCAGAGACGTTGGTGCAGGTAAGAACACAATTTTGTTGTGTATTTACAATGTCCTGTTGATAAGGTTTTCATTTAAAATAAATAGCTCGGTCTTTACATTCTGTTTTCATTTTCTCTTTTTCTCTAATAGAAAAACAAAGGATATATGGTATCCATCGATGCCACAAAATCAGTAAATGCACAACAAAAAAACATACAAAAAGCAACGGAACAGCGCTTTTATTGCTGTTCTTCATCTCAAAGTCACAGTGAGACCTCAACACGGAGCAAAAAACTCTCACCTGACTGCAAGTTTAAGACGGCCCCTAGTTTTCCTTTTTTTATATTTTGAAATGAATACTGTATCTAATAATAAGTACATGCATATTCTTAATAAAACAGAGCAAGTCATAAACTCATTATAGATACCAGGATTAAAAATTGTTTTCGTCTACAAAAGACTCGTCAGTGCCGCTCGAATGAAAAAAGTCAAAACGGCAAAATAAGTAATGTGCATTAAAGACATACTATTCCTTTATCAAGTTTTATCTCTTAAATGTAAGGAAGACTAACGAATAGATTTGTATAGTGACCATAATCTAAGACGTAGAAAATTGTGCAGGTGTATATCATATATTTTCAGGTGCCGTTGGGTTCATCCTTGGGACATTACTTAACAAAAACAAGAAATAAGGACAACTACGTGTGAAGAATCGTAAGTGTTGTTTTTTCTAAAATCTTTTGAAAATAACTACCAATATTTAATTGACAGTTTCCATGTTAGTTAACACACACCCATCACGTGAAAGCAAAATTATACATCTTTCTTTCAAATCAGATTTATTTTGATTTCAAAGTTTAGAGCTGTTGAAATTAAATTTGTCAATATAAGTACTCGCTGATACTTAATTTGACAGCTTTATAAATAGGTCAGTTTAAACTTTGTCGTTTTCACTGCACAATTTTAACTTCAGAGGCGGAGCTTCCATTGAGGCAATGCAAATAAAATGAGAACAGAAAAGAAAAGAAAAGAGAGATAAAATATACAACGTGTTTTTCATTAAAATAAGGTATCGAGTGAAGATGGTTCCAAGTATTTTACTTTTCCAACATTTACAATTGACATGATACTTTTATGTTTGATTGTATTTGGTGGATATGGTTTTAAAGAGAAACAGCTTGGCATATTCCTATAGAAACCAACTGCTCCTCTTCCCACTGACATGTATCTTGATTTATATGTGTTGGACCAGCTATAATATATAAACGTATGAAGTAACATGTTACACTTTAATATCCCCCGTATTTGAAAAAAATATTAAAAAAGGTCAAATTCTTCTTATTTTCCTTCTATTTTAAGTTCGCTGACAAGTAAAGTTTTGTGATTGTGATTCCTAATAATGTAGCTACTATAAGCCTAAGGGTAATTATGATCCTTATTTGGCTTTTTCTTCAAATCGTCAGAATCGAACCCGGTGGTACCTGTTCAAAACAGTATCGAATGATTTCAAACACGCATTTATCATTCGACTATTCATTCGACGTTTTCGTAGAAAAAAATTATATCATATCTAAGCTGGAACAACACTGTGTATTGAAAGAAACTATTTTTTTCAGAGAAATTCATGTAAATAAAGCGGATAAATTGTACGGCGAAAATGTTTTTACTTTTCGGGAAATAGATACTTTTTGCTTTTCAACGCTTCGGGAGTACCTATATCCGGTGGTGAGGCTACACGGTGTTTAAGTTATTGAGAGTCTATGAGGGTCTGGATGGGGATCATAGAATAGTTTTCAACAACAGACAGCTATTCATACAATATTGCAAGCTCTATATCATTCCTAGTCTATAAAAATTGATAATAAATTTAACACAGATCAGCCATCAAGACCAAATAATCCAAACAACAAAAAAATTTTAAAAAATAATTCATAAGACAACTACTGGGGGAGGTTCCTCACTTAGGATAGGCACATGTATATGTTGGGATATAAATTCATTTAACATCAATATGCAGTCGTCCTCATATGTCTGATATATTTGACACTGGTTGTAGCCACATCATTCAAAAAAATACTTAGTAATGTAAAGAAAAACACAAACTAGTATAGGATTGACCATGAAATCTAAGGGAAATATATGTACAAAATCACTGCTTTAAAGATACACTAAATATGTTGATCATGGCCAGGTCGAAAATTAATTTCAAATAGCAGCTTACACGGAATGCTTAGAAATATATCTGGAGATCGACTGAAACAATTTACGAAAGCATGTTGCTGCAATTAAACCACCCATATTATTTACCGTTTGGATTAATATATAACTAAAAGGAGATGTGGGACACACGAAAATGAGACAGCCACCGAACATAAAAAAATATCCGAATCTAAATGGAGGTTAAATGAGAACTGTTTTCAATTACTTTTTGTTGAAGTTGCGCCTCTTTATTACATACAACATTGGCATTGAACCACGACCTCATTCACTCTATATGCGAAACTTCTACGACAACTCTACCACGGCGATTTTACCACTACAGCAAGCCGACTTGTTACCTCATTAGGATAGTTTTACTTGACTTTATTTCATTTGTGCATTTTTATTTTTGCTCATTAATTTATCTTAGCTCAAGTGTGTTTACGTTAAACCGTCAAAGGCAATCATAGTGTCCCTACTTCACATTTGAATACGTGCAAGGGTCATTAAACAGTCACTCAAACAAACAGACAAAAAAAAAGCCATTTCTATAGTCTTAATAATCTAGAACTTAGTCAGTGTCCTCTTTTATTTTCATTAAGTTTTAAGCCAAAAGGTGGGAGGAAGAATTGTTACCCCACAGTTCCTACGCCCCTTAATCTGTTTAAAATACAGACCCTGAGTCCACATTTTGCTTACAGAATTTTATCAGATCCTTAAATGTGAGCGAAACGTAGAATAAGGATCTAAAAAAATACTGCATCATAAATATTACCAAGTTCCATTGCTAGTTTTTCATTAGCAGTGGAGAAACGTATTAGATGTCACAATAGGGCCTCGGTGACTGAGTGGTTTAAGTAGTTCTGCAGTATCACTAGTCTGTCAACACTGAGGTAGCGAGTCCGAACATCTCGTGTCTGCAGGTGCGTTCGGCTCGAATCTTAATTGACTAGAATTGTCAGAAGCTGAAGGTCGGTGATTCTCTCCGGGCACTCCGACTTCCTCCATCAATAAAAAGCTGATCCCCACGTTATAGCCAATAGCGCTGAAAGTGGCGTTAAACACCAACAATCAATCAATCATAGTAGATATTTCAAGGGTTAGAGGAAAAGTGGAGCGTAATTGTCGACAATGGTATGAATATCGCCAACCATAGCCAGTCGAAATTTTTGACAATTTTATGCTCAAATTTAGTTTTCAATCAAAGCGGGAAGGTGCCTGATATGTTTTTTGGTTTTGTAATAATCAACTTAATATGTTTTTCTTTTAACTTGTCTTTTTTGAACGGGGTGTATTTTAATTATCGTATAAACTGTTGGACAACATAGTGGTATTCATTGGTAAAAGGCCGAATTTTTCTCCAAACTAGCACGGCGTGGAGAAGTTTATTTATTTCTGTTTTATTTGGATTTTTTCTGCTAATGCGGATCATAAAGTGTTTCTTGAAATTCATCTGAGTCTCGTATTCGCCAAGTTCCTAAAATGAAAGAAATTTTAACAATATTATAACAAATAGCAATGAGACTTAACGCCATGATAGTAATAATTCAAAAGCAAAAATATTCAAAGAAATTTTTACCAACTGTCTTTACGATCTAAATAAAGAAAGACAAGAAGGTTTACATGCTTTCAAGGCCCTAGTAATAAACTTCTGATACTATTAAAAACTTTTTTTTAGAAAAAAAAATCACTAAAATACAGTCCATTATTTGTTGTTATATATAAAGTTTGAAATTGGGTTGCTATTTAAATTGTGCACCAAATGGTGCTCAGTTGCTTTTGCACCAATTGGTATTTCGTTTGCGCCAAAGAAAATCTTTCATTTGCGCCACAAACCACATTTCATTTGCGCCAATCATAAAACAACAAAGAAAGCGTGATAAACTGAAGTCAAAGGAGTAGGCCCGGTAAGACCCCTTTTTGGCCCGAAAATATAGCTGTTTTACAAATTTGTTAAAACTGTAAACTTTGGCTATTTATCGGAAAGTAGCATACTTTTGTAACATAAATATGGGCTGTTTTGGACAATACAATGCGCATGCATCAAGTACAAGCATCATTATTTCATGAAGAATTACTGAAATCTTCACAATTTTAGCGTTTGTGCTAACTTTTAAGAGGTTTTTGTCTAAAATGGAAGTTGCCGCACTCGTGTTCAGTCTTAATATTTGAATATATATTGTATTTGTATTTGATGGTAATACATAACATATATAAAGGTTGAGACTGAACAGGAATGCGGCCATTCACATTTTAGACAAAAACCATCTGAAAAATGACGTTTTATGGCATATTTGATAGATTTTTCATATTTAAGCTTGAATTTTAGCGTCTTTATGACCAAATCAGTTCAAATCTTTTACACAAATCACTTTTACACCAAAATTAGCCCAGACCTTCTTCTCAACGTCTCACTGCAGCCGGTGTCTTCGTGAAAATCATTTTGATTCCATATTAGCAATATCTAAGTTGGTTTTCCTATTTGATTTTGATTTTGAATAAAACAGCATATTCACCTGTGTAAGAAGTATATTCACCGCGCAAAACGTCACGTGCTTTCACATGTAACGTTATGATCAATTTTTTATTGTACCTGAAGAAAAAGAATATCCACCGCGCTGAACATCACATGTAACGTTATGGTAAAATATTATGGAATAAAGCAATTATTATCAATTGTTTCGGTAAATATATGGTTCAACTGACTTTTGAAAAACTGATATTCACTTCGGCTGTTGGCCTGTGAATATCAGTTTTTCAAAAGTCAATAAAACCACACATTTACCTCATCAAAAGACAGTAATTTTATAATATACGTTGTCGTCTCATGCTACGTACATGTAAATCAAAATGTAAAGATGCTTGAATAATAATACTTGTTCAGTAAAAATATGCATGGAATGATGTTGGTCCTTTGTTGGTTCTCTTGAAATTGTCAGTTCGTGCAACAGTCCAGAATGACGGTGAATATCTTGAACCAGAGGTTAATATTATACAATTACTGTCTTTTGATGAGGTAAATGTGTGGTTTTATTGACTTTTGAAAAACTGATATTCACTGAGGCCAACGGCCGAAGTGAATGTCACTAGGTTTTTCAAAAGTCAATTAAACCACATATTTACCGAAACAAAATACAGTTATTGTTTTATTCCATGTTCCGAGCGAGAAAAATATGTATAAAATAACAGTTATTTACCAAAACCAACTAAACGTCAAACATTGTATCGTTATTATACACGTAAAAGCGCGCGACGTTTTGCGCGGTGAATATACTTTTTCCACAGGTGAATATGCTTATTTATTCAAAATCCCATTCACATAGAAAAACCTACTAAAGTTCTATCAATATGGAATAAATATGTTTCCAAAACATAGTCAGCAAACTTCATGCATCTGCTCAGTTTAAGAACGATAACTTGTACAGGAAAAAATAATCATTCCACGTTTCATATTCTACCAATATTTTTTTTTAATTTGTGTGTCTCTATCTTCATTCCTCTCAGCTCATCGTGTACATCCGCTTTAACTTTTTTTCCGGTAAAGCATGATAATGTTTTGTTTGTTGTCAATATTAGATACCAAACATACATTAGGGTATGGATATTGAGGGGGGGGGGGGGGGGGGGGCTTCATTTCTGTTATTCTTTATTTTTTTTTAAGCCATTTTTCTCTATTCTTTATACTTTTGACCCATTATTCTCTATTCTTTATATTTTAGCACCTCATTATTCTCTATTCTTTTTTGGTCCTTTTTTCTCTATTCTTTATATTTTTTAACCATTATTCTCTATTCTGAAAACCCCCATCCACACCCTCGTATATAGCCAAGAAGGCATTTTTATGTCAGTTTTAAATGAACTCGCTTAATTAAACAATTTCTTATGAAAAAAAAATGTATATTTCAACTTCTCCGTTATATGTTACCTGTAAAATGGCGCAAAAGTAGTTTTTATATTTTGGCGCAAATAAGATATTACCTTGTGGCGCAAATGAAATACTGCATTTTGTAAAAATTGGGAAATGCAATGTGCTCGCACCAATTTTCTGTTAATTGTAACAATACAGTTTTATGAGAATTACATAAAAATAATATAATAGAAAAGTCAAAAATATAATTGTAAATCACACATTTCGAAAGTTGAATCAAACTACTACTTACATTATATATAATTCATTGTATAAATTACAGCAAATAACATGTTTTCCCGTTCGATTGGGTCAGAGACATTGTGAAATAATGACGGGTCAGCAGTAAACTTTACGATTGTTCCGATTTGACGTCATTCCAGAACTCTCCGCAGTTGATGTATCAAATAACCCCGTTATATTTACTCATCGCCCCTTCCGCCGGTCTACACCATTTAATTATATTACTAAAATAAAGGTACTACGAGCAAAACTCACAAAATAATACATCCGTCCCCATACAAAGCAATAGTAAAGTGTATGATTTGCCTAGGGAATTCCCCAAAACAATGCGGAAAATTAAAACACTATAGTGCTCAATGGTTTTGTGATAATTTTTCATCTAATAAGGGAATAAAGAGCCTTTTCGGATACAAAATGGGCACCAACTCACGGTACTGTTTCAACATTTGTACGTAATGGCCTTGGGCAACCACTCACGGTCCTGTTTAAACAGTTGTACATAATCAATTTGTTTTGTGTCCATAACGTACCAGCAGACAGCGCAATGTTCCGTATTTATTTCAATAAGACTTACCTTAAAGTAATCGTTCGACATTTTATATTTAGTTTATTTTCTCTAAACATTCTGATTTGTATTTTCGTAACATGCAGTGCTAAAGTATATTATACACACAAGGAAATGTTTTATATGTTCTACTTTAATACTTACATGAATTGTTTAATAAGATAATTAAGTTATTTCCCATAAGAGTTTCTTTCTCCTCCCATGAGGCTTCCTTCACTTCCCATAAGGCTTCCTCCATCTCCCATGAGGCTTCCTACGCCCATGAGACTTCCTCCACCCATGGGACTTCCTCCATTCATAAGGCTCCCTCCACCCATGAGACTTCCTCCATCCATGAGGCTTCCTCCACCCATGAGATTTCCTCCACCCATGAGGCTAGCGCTTCCTCCACCCATGAGACTCTCTACACTCATGGGGCTTCCTCCACCCATGAGACTTCCTCCACCCATGAGGCTTCCTCCACCCATGAGACTTCCTCCACCCATTGGGCTTCCTACACCCATGAGACTTCCTCCACCTCCCATGAGACTTCTTTCACTCATGAGACTTCCTCCATCCATGATGCTTCCTCCACCCATGAGACTTCCTCCACCCATGAGACTTCCTCCACCCATGATACTTCCTCCACCCATGGGGCTTCCTCCACTCATACTTCCTACACCCATGGGGCTTCCTCCACCCATGAGACTTCCTCCACCCATGAGGCTAGCGCTTCCTCCACCCATGAGACTTTCTACACTCATGGGGCTTCCTACACCCATGAGACTTCCTCCACCCGTGAGACTTCCTCCACCCATGAGACTTCCAATACCCATTGGGCTTCCTACGCCCATGGGGTTTCCTACACCCATGGAGCTTCCAACACCCATGATACTTCCTCCACCTCCCATGAGGCTTCCTCCGCCCATGAGACTTCCTCCATTCATGAGGCCTCCTCCACCCATGATACTTCCTCCACCACCTTCTAGTCCCCCCATTGAGATTCCACTGTAGCTTGGAGCAAAACCGCCAAGTGGGGAACCCGCTCCCACTGATAAAGTGTATGGAAAGTTCATTCCGTTGCTTGAGCCAAACCTGTTGACGTACATTGACATAGTGTTACAGTGGGCAACTGCGACCAGACATACAGTCGATACAAAGAAAAAGGCTTTCATCCTGAAATGTATTGTCAATGTATTTTATAAATGACAGGAATAGATTACATTTCAACTATAATGAGGTTTGCAGAAATATCCGAAATACATACGAGGGGTCTCATATTGAGAAGTGTGGGCTTCTGGACATTCTTATACTATTTTAGGTTGACTAAGACTCCCACCCGTTCCTTTATATGAACAGACATTGAATAAAGACAATGTTTCTATTTAAAATGTAAAATGAAACGAGCCAAAAATTAGACATTTTGACAAATTTATCAGCTTGCTTACGCTCGACAGTTTTGATCCTATGCCTACTGTACATATTCGTGGGTAAACACTGATATATATATAATTAGATATAAAAAGAGGCATACAAACAAATATGAGATACACAGAAGAAAAAAAATCAAACTTTAATTAAAGAAAAAATATGCGTCAATCAAATTAAAACGTAGACGACATGATATGGAACATGAGACAACATCAAATTAAATACTTAAAAGCACAAAGTTGATAGAAGTAGCCCAACGCTACGCCTATTTGTTTTAGGTATTTTTGTCATATAGCTCTTCAACTGTTTCGGTATTTATACATCCCTCGGATTTCAAATGTTTGGCATTGAGCGTTAACGTTCCTGATGAAGGTAAATCCAGAAAAGCGCTTCGGACGCATGAGATTATTAAACGTGTTGTTTTCAATTTTTTACATCACTGGGTCGATACCTCTGCTGGTGGACTATCAGTCCCCGAGTGTATCATCAGCTCAGTAGTCAGTACTTCGGTACTGACATGATTCAGTTATAACAAACTTTTCTAAAATTGTCCGTTTATAAATTTTGAAATTATAAAGAAACTAAGGTTTCAACTCCCTCAGGCAAAGTTGACCTTAGATGAATTTGTCTATTTGTTTTAGGTATTTTTGTCATATAGCTCTTCAACTGTTTCGGTACTTATACATCCCTCGGATTTCAAATGTTTGGCTTTGAGCGTTCCTGATGAAGGTAAATCCAGAAAAGCGCTTCGGACGCATGAAATTATTCAACGTGTTGTTTTCAATTTTTTATCAACATCCTTTATGTACGGGAGTACCCTTACTATGCGATTTGGAGGGAAAGTCTAAATGAAATAAAAACGATTAAAGAGAAAATGTTCTGATAAAAAGTTGTTAAAAAATTTATTACCAACTAGAAATTACGTAAAATAACAAGTCAAAATCGATCCAGTGGTTGTCGTTGGTTGCAATCTACCATAATTGTTTTTCTTTTATTGTTTTTGAATTGGTTCTCAAATTTTGTATTCCGGATAATTTTTAAGCTGACAATACGGTATGGGTTTTACTTATTATTATATATAATACAGTTGTCCGTTGTTTTTTACATCCACTTTATTTGTCCTTTGGTAGATAGTTGTGTCATTGGCAATCATACATCTCCTTAGTTTTTATATACAAACATATCTGAGGTTAACACGTTTGCTCCCAAAACCGACTTTTAACTGTTACATCAGAAAATCGCTCAGATAATAGTCGCACAGTAACCTATTGTTTATTGTCTTAAAGTGGACAGAGAAAAAATCACAACGGATATGACGGAGTAACTTTAATCCTTCAGGTGTTTCAAATCAGATATGTTAATGTGCGTTTTCACATGTATGTAGTCCATTTTCGCTGAACTAGTATACATTTTTGTTTAGGGGCCAGCTGAAGCCCGCCCCAGGTGCGGGATTTTCTCGCAGTGTTGAAGATCCATTGTTGGCCTTGTGTTGTTTTCTGCTCCTTGGTCGGATTGTTATCTCATTGACGTATTTCCCATTTCCATTCTCAATTTTATTATCTATTCAAAGTGTTGATAGTAAATATTCAACAAATAAAATAGTATACTTATTCTGTACAAATGTTCAGTTCGAATTCTGTTTAAATATATCTGTACTATCAATAATAAGATACTCGACCACAGTTTTCTGTTTTCTCATCTGACAAATCTTACCACAACTGTAAATTTTGCATTAACTTTCATATCATACGCATAATTTTCTTATTGGCTTTAGCCAAATTTCTTCGTAAGCTGCACAATTTCTACGTACTTAATCGTGAATAGGACGGAAACAAAACTACATTGCCAATAGATAAGGGTCTGGGTGGGTCTTACAGAATAGAGAATGAAGGGCAAAACGTACAGAATAATGGGCAAATATATAAAGAATAGAGGAAAATAGGTTAAAAAAAGAATAGAGAAAAAACGGGGTGCTGGAATATAAAGAATAGAGAATAATGGGGAAAGGACAAAGACAATAGAGAATAATAGGCAAAGAACATAAAGAATAAAGAATAATGGGAAAAGAACATAAAGAATAGAAAATAACGGGGAAAAGAACATAAAGAATAGAGAATAATAAGGACAGAACATAAAGAATAGAGAATAATAAGGACAGAACATAAAGAATAAAGAATGGGGAAAGGACATAAACCATAGAGAATAATGGGAAAAGAACATAAAGAATAGAGAATAACGGGGAAAAGGACAAAAAGAATAGAGAATAATCGGCAAAGAACATAAAGAATAAAGAATAATGGGGAAAGGACATAGACAATAGAGAATAATCCAAAAGGAACATAAAGAATAGAGAATAAAGGGGAAAGGGAAAAGAACATAAAGAATGGAGAATAATGGGGAAAAGGACACAAAGAATAGAGAATAACGGGGAAAGAACATACAGAATAGAGAATAATGGGAAAAGAACATAAAGAATAGAGAATTATCGGCAAAGAACATAAAGAATAGAGAATAATGGGGAAAGGACATAAAGAATAGAGAATAATGGAGAAAAGGACAAAGACAATAGAGAATAATGCAAAAGGAACATAAAGAATAGAGAATAAAGGGGAAAGGGGAAAGGACATAACGAATAGAGAATAATGGGGAAAGAACATAAAGAATAGAGAATAATCGGCAAAGAACATAAAGAATAGAGAATAATGGAAAAACAATATAAAGAATAGACAAAAATGAGGAAAAGGACAAAAAGAATAGAGAATAATGGGAAAAGAACATAAAGAATAGAGAATAATGGGGAAAGAACATAAAGAATAGAGAATAATAAGGACAGAACATAAAGAATAGAGAATAACCGGGAAAGGACATAGACCATAGAGAATAATGGGAAAAGGACAAAAAGAATAGAGAATAATGGGGAAAAGAACATAAAGAATAGAGAATAATGGGGAAAGAACATAAAGAATAGAGAATAATAAGGACAGAACATAAAGAATAGAGAATAACCGGGAAAGGACATAGACCATAGAGAATAATGGGAAAAGGACAAAAAGAATAGAGAATAATGGGGAAAAGAACATAAAGAATAGAGAATAATGGGGAAAGAACATAAAGAATAGAGAATAATAAGGACAGAACATAAAGAATAGAGAATAACCGGGAAAGGACATAGACCATAGAGAATAATGGGAAAAGGACAAAAAGAATAGAGAATAATGGGGAAAAGGACAAAAAGAATTGAGAATAACGGGAAAAGAACATAAAGAATAGAGAATAATAAGGACAGAACATAAAGAAAAGAGAATAATAAGGACAGAACATAAAGAATAGAGAATAACCGGGAAAGGACATAGACCATAGAGAATAACCGGGAAAGGACATAGACCATAGAGAATAATGGGAAAAGGACAAAAAGAATTGAGAATAACGGGGAAAAGAACATAAAGAATAGAGAATAATAGGGAAAGAACATAAAGAATAGAGAATAATAAGGACAGAACATAAAGAATAGAGAATAACCGGGAAAGGACATAGACCATAGAGAATAATGGGAAAAGAACATAAAGAATAGAGAATAACGGGGAAAGGACAAAGACAATGGAGAATAATGGGCAAAGAACATAAAGAATATAGAATAATGGGGAAAAGACATAAAGAATAGAGAATAATGGGGAAAAGGACAAAAAGAATTGAGAATAACGGGGAAAAGAACATAAAGAATAGAGAATAATAAGGACAGAACATAAAGAATAGAGAATAACCGGGAAAGGACATAGACCATAAAGAATAATGGGAAAAGGACAAAAAGAATTGAGAATAACGGGGAAAAGAACATAAAGAATAGAGAATAATAGGGAAAGAACATAAAGAATAGAGAATAATAAGGACAGAACATAAAGAATAGAGAATAACCGGCAAAGGACATAGACCATAGAGAATAATGGGAAAAGAACATAAAGAATAGAGAATAACGGGGAAAGGACAAAGACAATGGAGAATAATGGGCAAAGAACATAAAGAATATAGAATAATGGGGAAAAGACATAAAGAATAGAGAATAATGGGGAAAAGGACACAAAGAATAGAGAATAACGGGGAAAGAACATAAAGAATAGAGAATAATGGGAAAAGAACATAAAGAATAGAGAATAATCGGCAAAGAACATAAAGAATAGAGAATAATGGGAAAAGAACATAGAGAATAACCGGGAAAGGACATAAAGAATAGAGTATAACGGGGAAAAGAACATAGAGAATAGAGAATAATGGGGAAAGAACATAAAGAATGGAGAATAATGGGGAAAGAACATAAAGAATAGAGAATAATAAGGACAGAACATAAAGAATAGAGAATAACCGGGAAAGGACATAGACCATAGAGAATAATGGGAAAAGGACAAAAAGAATAGAGAAAAATGAGGAAAAGGACAAAAAAAATAGAGAATAATGGGAAAAGAACATAAAGAATAGAGAATAATGGGGAAAGAACATTAAGAATAGAGAATAATAAGGACAGAACATAAAGAATAGAGAATAACCGGTAAAGGACATAGACCATAGAGAATAATGGGAAAAGGACAAAAAGAATAGAGAATAATGGGGAAAAGAACATAAAGAATAGAGAATAATGGGGAAAGAACATAAAGAATAGAGAATAATAAGGACAGAACATAAAGAATAGAGAATAACCGGGAAAGGACATAGACCATAGAGAATAATGGGAAAAGGACAAAAAGAATTGAGAATAACGGGGAAAAGAACATAAAGAATAGAGAATAATGGGGAAAGAACATAAAGAATAGAGAATAATAAGGACAGAACATAAAGAATAGAGAATAACCGGGAAAGGACATAGACCATAGAGAATAGTGGGAAAAGAACATAAAGAATAGAGAATAACGGGGAAAGGACAAAGACAATGGAGAATAATGGGCAAAGAACATAAAGAATATAGAATAATGGGGAAAAGACATAAAGAATAGAGAATAATGGGGAAAAGAACATAAAAAATAGAGAATAATGGGGAAAAGGACAAAAAGAATAGAAAATAATGGGAAAAGAACATAGAGAATAACCGGGAAAGGACATAAAGAATAGAGTATAACGGGGAAAAGAACATAGAGAATAGAGAATAATAAGGACAGAACATAAAGAATGGAGAATAATCGGCAAAGAACATAAAGAATGGAGAATAATGGGCAAAGAACATAAAGAATAGAGAATAATGGGGAAAAGGACAATAATATTTAAGTTTCACAATAGACGCCTACTACTGTTCACTGAAAGTACAGTGTATATGCATGGAAATCGAAGAGGAATATAGAATCGTATTGAGATACATGTACAATTCTAAATATACGAACAGAAGAAAGACACCCTACCTTGTTGTTACCAAGAGCTCCTAGTCTGGAAGTGATTATTAATTGTAGTTAAAGTATACGACGATAGCTCGAGGACCACTGTAGAACATCCAATAGGTAAAGCCTACGTACTCGTTACATCTGTGCCCTAGTGGAAGTAACCCATGTTTGTCAATGATAAATCATTCTGTCAAAAAAATATTTTAAGATAGCATCTGTACGGAAAAGAAAAAGGTATTTCATATCAAAGAAATAAGTGTTGTTTTTTTTTTTATATTTGTCGATATTCCTTTATTCGTTTTGTAGTTCCAAAAACAATTTTAAATGGGAAAATAGTCATTTACGTTTTTGAAAATAGCAAACAAGTTTATTCGAAAACAGTTTCAGATTAAGATTCTACTGTAAAACAAAAAGTAAAAATGACGTTTTGATAACTAAAATAGTCACATGTTGAAGCTGCTTTTTTAAATGTCAATTTGAGCCTTTAAAACTTCTCCATAAAAATCCAAATTGACGTAGGAGTAAAAATGGTTCAAATGTAACAATGTAAACAAAAAATGCATGTTTGTGTTTATTGTAAACCATGGTAACCTTTCTCAGTAGCCCTTGTGTGTTGATGCGCATGTTTATTGTAAACCAAGGTAACATTTCTCGGTAGCCCTTGTGCGTTGATGCGCATGTTTATTGTAAAACAAGGCAACATTTCTCAGTAGCCCTTGTGTGTTGATGCGCATAATTATTGTAAACCAAGGCAACTTTTCTCAGTATCCCTTGTGTGTTGATGCGCATAATTATTGTAAACCAAGGCAACTTTTCTCAGTAACCCTTGTGTGTTGATGCGCATAATTATTGTAAACCAAGGCAACTTTTCTCAGTAGCCCTTGTGTGTTGATGCGCATAATTATTGTAAACCAAGGCAACTTTTCTCAGTAACCCTTGTGTGTTGATGCGCATAATTATTGTAAACCAAGGCAACTTTTCTCAGTATCCCTTGTGTGTTGATGCGCATAATTATTGTAAACCAAGGCAACTTTTCTCAGTATCCCTTGTGTGTTGATGCGCATGTTTATTGTTAACCAAGGTAACATTTCTCGGTAGCCCTTGTGTGTTGATGCGCATGTTTATTGTAAACCAAGGCAACTTTTCTCAGTAACCCTTGTGTGTTGATGCGCTTGTTTATTGTAAACCAAGGCAACTTTTCTCAGTATCCCTTGTGTGTTGATGCGCATGTTTATTGTAAACCAAGGTAACTTTTCTCAGTAACCCTTGTGTATTGATGCGCATGTTTATTGTAAACCAAGGTAACCTTTAACAAAAAGGAAATTTTAGAACCGAAAAGCGTTGCTGATGTATTTAATGCTTATTTCACAAATATCACAGATAATCTTAATACAAATCAAAACAGCAACAATAGTTCTTTTAACAAACTTGATGATTTCATATCGGGTCATGTACCAGATAATGTGTATTTTTCTATACCACTTATGAGTAATGATTTTGTGTGTTTACAACTAAAAGCACTAGATGAATCAAAAGCAACAGGTCTTGATAACATAAGTGCAAAGTTTTTAAAGATGTTTTCTCATGCTATTTCACTACCACTTTGTCACATTTTTAACTTAAGTATTAAAAAATGTATTTTTCCATCTTCATTTAAACTGGCAAAAGTCATACCAGTTTATAAGAACAAAGGTTCAAAACAGGATGTTTTTAATTACAGACCAATTGTAAATTTACCACTCATTTCTAAAATCCTCGAAAAACATGTGAAAACACACTTAGTAAAGTATCTTAATAAATACAACTTATTGTATAGAATGCAGTCAGGCTTTCGCGCAAACCATTCTTGTCAAATTGCGTTAACAGCTTTATTGGATAAATGGCTTAAAGCCATTGATGATGGCGATCTTGTTGGGGCAGTGTTTCTAGATCTAGCAAAAGCCTTTGATCTTCTCAATCATGAACTGCTTATTCAAAAATTAAACAAATACAAATTTGCTTATACTTCGCTACGATGGTTTACATCATATTTGGCTGACAGATATCAGATGGTATCTATTTCAAATACATTTTCAGACTTACAAAAACAAAAAACGACCTCAAGGATCCGTTTTAGGACCTGTGTTGTTTTTAATTTTTATAAATGATCTTCCTTTGTCTAATCCTAATCATAACACCGATTTATTTGCTGATGATAGCACCATATCAGTCATTGGACAAAACAAAAGTTGTATCAGTCATAAACTTAATACGGTTTTACAAGATATTTTTAGCTGGTGTGATGACAATAAAATGGCTGTAAATGTATCTAAAACGAAGGCTATATGTATTGGCTCTAAACAGAAGCTTTCAGCTACTTCAAATGAAAACATTAATATTGCTATGAATGGACAACAAATTAAAGAAAGTACATGTGAAAAGGTTCTAGGTATTTTTGTTGATGCATCTCTATCTTGGTCTTCTCATATTGATTATATCATAAAAAGGGTTAACTCTTCTTTAGCTTTACTAAAAAGGATAAAGAAATATTTAAATCACAAAGCTAGACAAATGTTCTATAACGCTTACGTTTTACCTCACTTAGATTATTGTTGTTCAATATGGGGAAACTGTAATAACTTTCTATTAGATAGTTTACTAAAACTGCAAAAGAGGGCAGCAAGAATAATTTTAGACGAACATGATTACACCAAACCTTCAAGCGAATTATTTCACGAATGTAACATTGTGCCGATTAAACAAAGAATACATTATCATAAATCATTACTAATGTATAAGGCAAAACATGGATTAGCTCCAGAATATATGTCCAGTCTTATTGTATCAGCTTCTGCAAACCAAAAATACAATACGAGATTTTCGTCCTCAGATAATTTTATAATTCCAAAACCAAATACAGAGTTGTATAAGTCTAGTTTCTCGTACAATGGACCAAAAGTATGGAATGCTCTTCCTGATTCAATTAAAAAATCAAACACAGTATTAGAATTTAAACATAACTACAAATCTATGTACTTTTAACATTACCATGATATTTGTACTGTAATGCCATCTATAATAATTGTTTATTGTATTTAAATTGTATTACATCTTTATTTATCATTATTATTGAATATGTATTGTTTATTTTTAATGTAATTATTATTGTATAAGAGAGCCTTATTGAAAATTGGTGTAATCCAAATGAGTTACTCTCTCTAAATAAAGATATTATTATTATTATTAGTAGTAGCCCTTGTGTGTTGATGCGCATATTTATTGTTAAGCAAGGCAACATTTATCAGTAGCCCTTTTGTGTTGATGCGCATATTTATTGTAAACCACGGCAACATTTCTCAGTAGCCCTGGCGCGTTGATGCGCATGTTTATTGTTAAACAAGGCAACTTTTCTCAGTAGCCCTTGTGTGTTGATGCGCATATTTATTGTAAACCAAGGTAACCTTTCTCAGTAGCCCTTGTGTGTTGATGCCCATGTTTATTGTAAACAAAGGCAACTTTTCTCATTAGATCTGGCGCGTTGATGCCCATGTTTATTGTAAACCACGGCAACATTTCTCAGTAGCCCTGGCGCGTTGATGCGCATGTTTATTGTTAAACAAGGCAACTTTTCTCAGTAGCCCTTGTGTGTTGATGCGCATGTTTATTGTAAACCAAGGCAACTTTTCTCAGTAGCCCTTGTGTATTGATGCTCATGTTTACTGTAAACCAAGGCAACTTTTCTCAGTAGTCCTGGCGTGTTGATACCCGCGTTTATTGTAAACCACGGCAACATTTTGCGGTTACCCTTGCGTGTTTTACATCTATTTTGCATGTATATTTGGAATTCTGCAGCACGATATTCTCCAAACTTAACCAATTATAGTATGCTACAAGGCTTTCTAGATCATCTAAAATATTCACAGACGCTTGCAAATGAACACCATTTTTCCTTTTTTTCCTTTTCTTTTTCACGGTAAATTTTGTATTATATTTTACCTATTTCCCTTATTTAATATCGTATGGATCAGAGCAAGAACACGTGTACATTTTAGTAGTAAAGGGAAGTCAATGTATACATAAGATAATATTTACTAAAACAAAATTTAAAAAAATAAAAAAATAGGGAATCAATCAGAGACTTTTTATAATATATCTAAATTTTAAAAAATCCAAAAAGGAAGCGATAATTACCTGTCAGGAAGTAACATATCAGTAAATTTAGTAACATCTCAATTATATACAGACGCATATCGATCACATCTCAGTTATATACAGACCCATATTGGTCACATCTTTACATACAAATGTACTAATTTTTATCTGAGATGTAAATTTATCATTAAAAAATGAAAACAACAAATTAAAAATGTCATGCGTCCGAAGCGCTTTTCTGGATTTACCTTTATTATGAACGCTCAAAACCGAACATTTGAAAGTCAAGGATGTATAAGAATCGATACATTTTTAAAATCCCATCTCTCGGCCGACAACAGAAGCTTTGTAGAATATAAACTAGTCATTATTTTCAATATTTGAGTTTTAGGTATTGCTAGTTAAATGTTAAACTCTAGGAGGGGAGGCTGAACATCTAATCGCTAACTTATAGTTTGAAGCCAAAATAAAGTATTTGGTTTTGTTTTCTGCAATGGAATTGTGTACATGTTTGTTCTTGGCAGTGCACATGTTTTCGGCGTTTTTGTTTGAAATCTACAGTGAATATCAAATGACATAGAAGATAAAAACTATAGCTCACCACCGTACAGTCTTCAACAATGAGCAAAACCCACAAGTAATTTGGTTTTCTTTTATGATGAACGTTGTTATATTAAAGTGATTTTCCAGGACCATTTTAATTGTATATTCTTATATGCACAATTATCGAGATTAAGATCTTAGAAAATGTTTAAACCCCGCCTCATTATAAAATTATAAAATGTGCCTGTCAAAAATACAATCTGTGATTACTACATAATTGTGTCCTATTTAATAAATGTTTACCTTCACCTTCACTTCACCTTGGAAAATCAACTTTGCGCAGACATCCATTGCAGTGGCGGATCTAGGGGGGGGGGGGGGGCTCCGCAGGTTGGACCCCCTTTTTTGACGATCAATGCTTTTGAATGGGGACATATGGTTGGACACCCCCCTTTTATCCTGGTTTGGAACCCCCCGCCCTTTTAAAAATGGCTGGATCCGCCCCTGCATTGAACCACTATACTAATTATGAATAAAGGCAGGTGTCAAACAGACAGCAACCAACAACACCACAAAAATATTTTTAAAAATCGAAATCTAAATAGACAGCAATCTATGTAACATGTCTAGCTCAGAAGGCTCGACTGTAAAGATCATTTTGAATTTTTCAGAGAATATCAAAGATCTGCTACCAAATTCCCAGAATAAAAAAGGAAACATCTATAAAGGTTTGAGAAGAAAAGACCACTACCGACAAGGCTTCTGACCTTAGACAATGGCGGCTTAAATCTGTGCAGTGATTTTCTTCACATAAACCATATTGTGTATTCTTTGTTCAATTGATAGTTCTTGTTATTATTTAAGAATTGAAAGCTGCGTTTTGCTTTATACGAATTGAAAGAAAGTGATCATTTCATTTTGCATGAACCGCAAAAGTGAGGAAGCGCTTCTTGCTAAAATTGTGACGGTCACTTGCTTTCATTTTTTTTTTTCAATGGAGTAGCTAGCATTGACCCAACAACGCACTGGCAGTGACGTAGCTATAGCATTCACCCAACAACGCACTTCCAGCGGCGTAGTGACACCATTGACCCAACAACGCACTTCACTCGCTCGTTGTTCTTATATGTGAATGTTATTGAATTTGAATTGTGCATGGTCATTTAAATACAAGGATCCCTGGTTTTGCTTACAATGAATCAAATATTTACAAGAAAAACAAAGGAAAAAAAATATACCTTCTCATACATCATGTGCATGTACTATTTTTTTGTTGTGCCAGGTGGTGTAATCATGTAGATCTTGTTCGGTATAAAAACACTGAATGAGGTTAATAATCAGTCAATAAGTGTATACTAATTTACTCATTCGTCAAAACATCATCAAGAGGATTTGAGCGTTACAATAAAAACCTCTTGTGTTCTTCTTTGTTATTCTTGAGATGTCATTTTCGTCCAAATAGTGTTGACGTGGTGGTTATGACCACACCTAGGATTATGCCTGGTTAGAGAGAATCATGTTACACGCGCACATGATTACGTTCTTTCTTGTTTTAGTATGACCAACGGAATTGAGCAAAAATACAAATTAATTGCAAATTTAATGTCAATCGGCAATCCTCGGGTGAATCCGCTACTCTTCTTCTATGGATTTAATGTAAGAAAGAGGACATTCGTCACAACTCGGCCGATTCCGTTCCTTCATCTAACTAGCAGATTCACCCGAGGATTGCCGATTGAGAAAGAGGCGGAAGATACCAAAGGGAGAATCAAAACTCATTAATCGATTAAACACCGAAAAAAACATGGCAAATACAAATAAAAAATTCGTAAGGGTTCCGCGGAACCCAGTGTCTCGACTACTTTTGCTGTTAGTCACAGGCTCAACAAAAATGGTGAAAAAATTCTTAAAAATGTTCCTCTAGATACTATCTTTTGATTGTAAGAAGCTTCTGTCCAAGTTTGGTAAAAATCCAGGATGGTTTATGAATCTAATAAATGTTTTAAAAACTTTAACTACAGACTGTATGTAATGTTAACCGGAATAAAAACTAAGTCCATTTATAAGTAATATAAGGAAAAACAGGAAATAAATTTTTACAAAATTTCCTTCTAGATACTAGCTTTTGATCATAAACAAGCTTCTGTCTAAGTTTGGTACAAATCCAGGATAGTTTAAGAAAGTTATTAAAGTTTAAAAACTTTAACCACAGAGTGAATGTAATGTTAACTGGCAGAAAAACTAAGTCCATTTATAAGTAAAATACGGATATCATCATAAACAGGATTTTTTTTGTACAAAATGTACTTCTGGATACTTTCTTATGATCATAAACAAGCCTCTGTCCAAGTTTGGTAGACATCCAGGATAGTTTAAGAAAGTTATTAAAATTTCAAAAACTTTAACCACAGAGTGAATATTTGTGGACGCCGACGACGGAATGTAGGATCGACATGTCTCGCTTTTGCGACAAAAGTCGCAGGCTCGACAAAAACGACGAAAAAACCAACAACAGTTTACAACACACTACATAAAAAACACAAGACTGAGCATCACGAACCCCACCAAAACCGGGTTGGTATCAGGTGCTCCAGAAAGGTAATCATATGCTGTTCCACATGTGGCGCCCGTCGTGTCGCTCATGGTGAGTACTCATCAGTGTTAAGTCTGAATTGGTGATGTCACAATCGAGGAAAAGTGAACGTAGGTGAAATTGATTAGACGATAAGATTGGTTCAGTGGAGGGCTGTACGGAGAAAATAAATATTGTGTCTGCGCTATACTTTAATAAGAATTTGGTCTTATCTATACCTTACGGTTTTTTTTATTCGAGCAGCATTCATTAGTCAAAAGGTGGTCAGTGGCTCGTGCATGTAATGTTAATGTAAGTTTCATGTAGTAAAGTCTTCCTTTTACAGTTTGGAGTAGAATAAACTTTATGTTTGGTCAACCTAACTTTTATTTATCTGATAGTTGAATTGATAAGATGACGAATCGTGCGACTTTGGGACTTTCCTTAAAATATACTTGTACTGCCCAAAGGCAGAATGATTGGAACTGAAATCAATCATAAGCATTCAATCACGTTAATTTCTTCTTGAAAAAGACATGTAAACGAATAAAACACTTTATAGACAGTTTGTGAAGGAAAATGAAGTTATCCTGTTGTGTTTTGATTTTAATTCAGCTGGTCTCACTGATCAGCGGCCAGATGTATAGTAGGCGATTTTATCAGGAAGGGTTCCAATCTGCTGGATACAACCCATTTCCTTTCGGTGGACATCCGTTTGTAGGCAGAGGTGGTCACGGCGGATACGATGGGGGACACGCCCATACACATGTCCACTACCATGGTGGAGGATTTGGTGGAGGGTTTGGAGGAGGCGGATTAAGAATTAGATCCAGAGACGTTGGTGCAGGTAAGTACAATTTTATTGCGTATTTACAATGTTTTGTTGATAAGGTTTCTACTTAAAATTAATCGTCTCGGCCTTTACATTCTGTTTTCATTTTTTCTTGTTTTCTTTTTTTATATTTTGAAATGAATACTGCATCTGTTTTACTTCAACAATGGGGATTAGTTAATATATATATTCTTGATAAAACAGAACAACTAATAAACTCATCATAGATACCAAGATTAAAAATGTGTACATCAGACGAGCATTTCGTCTACAAAAGACTCGTCAGTGACGCTCGAATGCAAAAAGTTAAAAAGGCAAAATAAGTAATGTGCATTAAAGACATACTATTCCTTTATCAAGTTTTATCTCTTAAATGTAAGGAAGACTAATAGATTTGTATAGTGACCATCATCTAAGACGTAGAAAAATGTGCAGGTGTATATCATATATTCACAGGTGCCGTTGGGTTCATCCTTGGGACATTACTTAACAAAAACAAGAAATAAGGACAACCACGTGTGAAGAATCGTAAGTGTTGTTTTTTCTTCTAAAATCTTTTGAAAATAACTATCAATATTTAATTGACAGTTTCCAGGTACGTTAACACCCACATGACAGCAAAATTATACATCTTTTCTGGCAAATTATAATTATTTTGATTTCAAAGTTTAGAGCTGTTGATATTAAAATTGTCAATATAAGTACTCGCTGACACTAAGTTTGACAGCTAATAGGTCAGTTTTAACTACTAGTATGTCGCTTTCATTCCATCATATCATTTAACTTTACTTCTAATTTATCCACTTTGACACTGTGTAGCATCACCACCAGATATAGGTACCCCTGAAACGGTGGGGAAAAAAAACAAATGTGAAGTCGGGTAAGGTCAAATTCTTCGTATTTTCATTATACTCTACGTTTTGCTGACAAGTAAAGTTGTGTGCTAGTGATTCCTAATATTGTAGCGACTATTTAGGTCTGGTACTGATCCTTTATTGGCTTTCTCTCTTCAAATTGTCAGAATCAAATAGGGTGGTACCTGTTCAAAGCAGCATCGGATGATTTCAAACACACATTTATCCTTAATAGGGTGGTACCTGTTCAAAACTATTCCTTTGACGTTTTCGTAGAACAAAGTTATATTATTTAAGCTTGAACAACTCTGTATTTCGAAATAAACTATTGTTTTCAGAGAAATTCATGTAAATAAAGCGGATATATTTTACGGCGAATAGTTTTTTACTGTACAGGGAATAGATACTGTTTGCTTTTCACCGCTCGGGGGTACCTATATCCGGTGGTGATGCTACACAGTGTTTAAGTCATCGAAAAAAGTGTTTGAAATCGACAGTCTATGAGGGTCTGGATGGGGTTTATAGAATAGAGAATATTGGGCCAATAATACAGAAAAATGAGCCCCAAAAAATAAAGAATGGAGAAAAATAGGCAACAAAAAATAAAGAATAGAGAATAATGGGGTGCTTAAAGATAAAGAATAGAGAAGATGGGCAAAATTTATGAAGAATAGAGAAAAATGGCATAAAAAAATAACAAATACAGACTTGAAGGAAACCCATCTAGATCCTCGTCTATAGCTAAATACTAATGAATCATAGGATATTTCAATAAATTGAATAAAGAAATGTACAAATAATGAACGGAAACAAATATGATATACAGCAACAAACGACAACCACTGAATTACAGGCTCCTGACTTGGGACAGACACATATAGAATGTGGTGGGGATAAATGTCTATAATACTAATTATTACGTTGTGTTTTAAGCTTTGTAAGTAATCGTATTTTCAAACTATTCAAACTAATACTTTTTTTTTCTTTTAGGTGAAGATGACAATATTTCAAAGTGCCAAAATCGTGAACAGACATGCGTGGAACAGACTAGTGTCTGTAAACATTATTTAAGCAGTAATAAATACAAAGCATTTTTATTCATGTTGTTAATTTTGTTTTAATTTGAACTCGAATGTGAAATAAACAGTTGACACATAGATATGTCTGGCCTGTCGGCAAATATTTAAAAAAAGACAATCTGATGGACAGCAACACCAGGGATTAATTCAAAGTCGCTGGACCATGATCTAGGGTGCAGGGCCTCGAAATAGTCGTCAAATTGATATGTATTGATAGTAATTCAACTTTTTAGAAAATATCAATGATCTATCACAAGTAGATCCTATCAGTCTTATTTAAGCAGAAAACTTAACATCGAAAATTTCTAATTAATTCAAAGTCATTGGAGCATTACATAAGGGGCAGGGCCTCGATAAATTCGTCTAACTGGTATGTTCTGATAGTAATACAACTTTATACAAAATATCATTGATCTATCACAAAAAGTTCCTATTAAACTGACTTAAGCAGAAAACTTAAAATCGAAAGTTGCTAGTTTATACAGTCACTGGACTATGACCTAGGGGGCAGGACCTCGAAATAGTCGTCAAACTGATATGTGCTGATAGTAAAACAACTTTACAGAAAATATCATTGATCTATCATAAGTATTCCCTATCAAACTATCTTAAGACGAAAACTTAGCATTGGAAATTGCTTACTAAGCAGGACAATGACATAGGGACAGTGCCAAATAGTCGTCACACTGATAGTAATGCAACTTCATACAAAATATCACTGATCTATCACAAGTAGTTCCTATTAACCTGACTTAAGAAGAAGACTTAACAATTGTTGACGATGCCAACGACGACGACGCCACCGGAAAAGCAACCCATATGTCTCACTTTCCGCGACATTCTTGTTTGTTAATAATTGTATGCATTCAACCCTTCTTGAAATAAAAATATTGAATGTCTCAAATTAAAATTGTAGCTTTAAAACTTTTAAATCTGACTCAATGGAATATGTAAAATTTAGAATGGAAACGGGGAATGCGTCAAAGAGACAACAACCCGACCAAAGAGCAGAAAACAGTCAATGGATCTTCAACACAGAGAGAAAATCCCGCATCCGGAAGCGGGCTTCAGCTGGCCCCTAAACAATAATGTATACTAGTTCAGCGAAAATGGACGTCACACTAAACTCCGTAACATATAAATGAACCAAAATTTAAAAAAAACATACAAGACCAACAAAGGTAAGAGGTTCCTGACTTGGGACAGGCGCAAACACATATATTTGTGAGATCTCAACCCTCCCCTATACCTATGTCAATGTGGAATAAACAAACACACATCAATACGCACAGTAAAATTCAGTTTAAAAGAAGTCCGAGTCCGATGTTGGAATAGGTAACAGAAGAAACCAAACAAAATGACAATAATCAACATAAATTAAGAACGGACTACTAGCAGTTACTGAAATGTCAGCTCCATGCAGTGCATGTCCATTGCTACACACCATGTTTTAACTAGAAAGTCGTTTTTTAATGTAATTTTTCGTTGGGCTACTGTCTTACTAAGTGAGAATAAAAAAAATATATGAGACACAGTGTATATCAATGAGATATTATAGCGGTCAGTAATACACGGTCTCCTCAATATGCAAACAGGTGTCTATACATGGTCTATGCAAGATGTCAAGCTATAATTTGCTCGCAGTCTTCAAAATTGTAAATAAATGACTCAGTGACGATCTAAGATCTGCCTATAACACTTAATTTTCCAATTTCAATTGGAGTTAAGTATGACGTCCATTATCACTGATTTTTTTTTTGTTTAGGGGCGAGCTGAAGGACGCCTCCGGATGCGGGAGTTTCTCGCTGCATTGAAGACCTATTGGTGGCCTTCGGCTGTTGTCTGTTCTATGGTCGGGTTGTTGTCTCTTTGACACATTCCCCATATCCATTCTCAATTTTAATTACATACAAACAAGGAAGAAATTACATACAAACCCTCACAAAGTATAACACATAAAACTTAGGAAAGCGAACCCCAGGTACTCTGAAAAGGTAAGAAGTTCCTGTTCTTATAGAGTCAGCTGTCGTGCTTCTCATGACCAGTAAAATATGGTGATAAGTTCAGTGATTTGTCATCAAGGAAGAACATAGCATACATTTATGGCTGCAAAAAATGGAAAATATTTGTGACTATCACTCAGGTAAAAGTTTCCGTATATATTTCGGATAGAATACTTATTTTTACAATAAAGAAACAATTGGTCAATAGCTTTCATAACAAATATGCTATAACGAATTCACAATGGGAACACAGAATGTCTAAACTACTGTGAACGTACTTTTATTCTTGGGGTACCAATTTTCGTGATTTTCGTGGATGGCTTTATCCACGAATTTAAGTGTCCAACGAAATATAACAACTGTTGTCTAAAAATTAATTTAAGACATGGAAAAATCCCAATGTAGGTCTGATTATGTGGATACGGAAAATACATTGAAACAGCAAACTAACTATGAACTCTATATGTACAACTTCAGACAGGATTTTACCCATTGAATTAAAAAAAAAAAAAAAAATACAAGACTCTTAACATTTTAATTATAATGCAAACAAAGTGTTCAAAGCTTGTGATGATATGCGCTGATGAAGTGTTCATAATTTTTTATCTTCACATAATTCCCGTTGAACAAAACAAAAATAATAATTTCATATTGGGCTTGCTTTTTTATTTCATATGAATTCATTCTACAATTAAAAGTAGATTTGTTGCATTTCTTTTTGTAACGGTTTTCGTCAAGTGATATGTTTATTACTCAATTAACGCCTTTTATGGTCGTTAAGCTGTTGATCCTTTGATCTCGGGTTAATTAGTGTCATCACTTCTAATTACATGTGTGCTACAATTAAAATGTTTACTTTGCAATATTTTTCAATCGAGACAACTCGTAAGCACCGAAGATTCAGCATATTTCCAAAAGAATTTTTTTATTAAAAAAATATGAATATGTTGTCAGCAAGACAGACAAACAAAAAGGGGAAAATGAACACTTTATTTTGCAATGTCCCACAAATCATTCTAAAAATCGAATGATTATTTTCAAGAATCTCTGTTTCTGATGGCTTCAAATTCTTCACTCATTTTTTTCCTCAGAAACTAAAATCCACGAATTTAAGAACCCACTCAACATGTAACTTTTGCTCAAACCACGAAAGTTGATACCCACGAATAAAAGTACCTTCACAGTAGTTCAATTAAGCTGTCAATAAAAAGAGTTGTACGGCATCAAATACATGACAACCAATCGACAAAAAATATAAAAAAAAAATGTAAAGCTCAACATACATTTTTTTCAAAAATAGACAAGGATTTGTTAAATATGTTCAGCTGTAAATCGAACCCAGACTAAAAAAGGCTATGATTGAATAGAACGGAGGCTACTAAGGATCAAAACTAGTTTGTCACGGGTTCTTTACATTTTCAAAAGAGAAATACCCTTAGTTGAAACCTAATTGTAGATACAATAAACGACATAAATCGGTGAAGCGTGTCAAACTTTTCTCTCTAAGATAAGACTGGGTCGTTGGCCAAGCAATGGTGTGATGCAGGATTAGTGTGCAACATGTCAAACATTTCTCTCTAAGATAAGACTGAGTCGTTGGACAAGCAATGGTGTGATGCAGGATTAGTGTGCAACATGTCAAACTTTTCTCTCTAAGATAAGACTGAGTCGTTGGCCAAGCAATGGTGTGATGCAGGATTAGTGTGCAACATGTCAAACTTTTCTCTCTAAGATAAGACTGAGTTGTTGGACAAGCAATGGTGTGATGCAGGATTAGTGTGCAACATGTCAAACTTTTCTCTCTAAGATAAAACTGAGTCGTTGGACAAGCAATGGTGTGATGCAGGATTAGTGTGCAACATGTCAAACATTTCTCTCTAAGATAAGACTGAGTCGTTGGCCAAGCAATGGTGTGATGCAGGATTAGTGTGCAACATGTCAAACATTTCTCTCTAAGATAAGACTGAGTCGTTGGCCAAGCAATGGTGTGATGCAGGATTGGTGTGCAACATGTCAAACTTTTCTCTCTAAGATAAAACTGAGTCGTTGGACAAGCAATGGTGTGATGCAGGATTAGTGTGCAACATGTCAAACTTTTCTCTCTAAGATAAGACTGAGTCGTTGGCCAAGCAATGGTGTGATTCAGGATTAGTGTGCAACACGTTAAATATTTCTCTAAGTCATTTGATTTCACAAACTAGAGGCCCATGCTAACAGGAAGACCATGATATACAATTAATGCTCGAGTAACTCATAAAAAATCGAAAACAAGCTGACAATGCCATGGCAAAAGGGAAAAACAAGCTGACAATGCCATGGCAAAAGGGAAAAACAAGCTGACAATGCCATGGCAAAAGGGAAAAACAAGCTGACAATGCCATGGCAAAAGGGAAAAACGACCAAAAGAAAAACAAAACACACAGAACACGACATAGAAAACTAAAGACTGAGCAACACCAACCCCACCCAGGATGATCGCAGATGTACGGAAGGGTTAACAGATCCTGCTCCACATGTGGCACTCGTCATGTTTTGCTCATGTAAATACAAATTCTGTAGGTCATATTCGAGGAAAATAGGACGGGATTGTGGTTACGACAATTGGAACATAATTATCTGTCGTCATCTGTGAAAGCCATATTCCATAACGGTCAACGAACTTGTGATTGCGTCCGTAAAATTTTCGAAGGGATGATTTCAACTTCACAACTTGGAAGTCTTGGTTTAATAGCTTCCTTGTAAGCAGCAACCCTCTATCAAGGAAATCTCGATAGGAAATACAAACTCTGGAATATCGTATAAGCTGGGAGATATATACTCCGAATATGCAGGCGCTGCTGTAATGTTGCTACATAGAAATGGAAAGTTCACAATTGAGAAGCTGAAATCTTCTCTTTTGTCGTAAGTTTTTGCTCTCAACCGACCCTCATTGTCAATTTCTAGATGTAAGTCAAGATATGAGTCATACTTAACTGTATCTTGTGTATCCCTTATTTCATGTTCGATGGGAAAGATGCGTTCAGCATAGTCATCAAACTTTGAATTATTTAGTTTGAGGACATCATCTAGAAAGCGGAGCGTGGAGCTAAAAATAATGATAGCATCTTTTCATTCTTTCCATGGGAATGCCGATTGTTTGTTAAAAGACACGTCCTCCAAACGTAACAAATATTTTGTCAATGAAGAAATAAAGTATCTTGATAATGTCAGTATCAGAGAATTTTTTGTTTGATTCAGAGTGATTTTTTTTTTACAAAGTACGATTTATCCCTCCCTAAAAAAGATACCTGTATCTCTAATAGCTATTCTTTTTTATGAAACATATGAACCAAAACCTTTGATTGAGTTGCATTGCTTTATATTTGTGTTTATGTCAGCTTCTCAAAATATTTCGGCAATTTATCGCTGATATTGCACTAAATTCTCCACGTACTGATGTAGCCATTGAGGAAGTTTTGGTGACAAAGACACATTTGTTTGTATTTGTTTTCAAGTCAGAAATCAGATTTTGACCTATCATAATTTTTTTCGGTAGATTGTTGAATATTTAAATATTTAAAGATCGTAACAAGTTTATGCGACTTTCTCCAAATGAAAACAAAAAAAACCCAAAAAAACAACAATGAATTAATTTATGCATGCGTATGAAATTGACTTCTAAATGTTTTAATTTTTGGGTTACTATGTGTTTTTGAAATGTTATCCCAATTTGATTTACCCAATATCCTCGTTTATTCTTCAAGGTAAACCCCTTCTGTGATGATCTCGTGTTAACGTTCTCGTCGGATCTCGCCTCGATTGGCGTGAGTTACATCATGGGGTCAATAACCGGCCTAGTCAAACAAGACTTGAAATTAGTATTTGCTGCTCCTCCACTGATTAGATATATAATCATGCGTCATTTATGAATTATTCATCTTCTAGGTAAAGTACCCATCCAAACCTACGTACTCTTTGGTAGTCGAATCTAAATAAGTCTCTTCCTGAAATTGTATAAAAGTCATGTAGTCTCCTGAACAAACATGAAATCATCAGGTGTTTTATCCGGCATTAAAAAATAGGAAGTATGATGTCAGTGATTACTCAAACTTATGACATTTATAAGGATTTAGGCAATACACAAAACACCATTTTGATCCTTAACATTTTGGAAGGACACAAACACTCTGATACTTTCACCCATACACAGTTATTTTAAGCATGAAAAGTCTAAAAGTTTTCATCTATATCTCCGTTTTTATTTCACTTTCAAGTGGCTATATTCATCAGGGAGGATATTATCCACCATACGGTGGAGTGGGCGGTGGCGGATTCACATCACAATTTGGTGGTGGATTTGGACAATTTGGTGGTGGAATTGGACAATTTGGTGGCGGATTTTCTCCGTTTCACGACGGATATTACGATGATGCACAGCAAGTACATGTACATTACCACGAGAATACTGGTGGATTTGGAAACATGTTTGGTGGCATCAACCAACGAGACCTGGTAGCAGGTTAGTTTTCACTAGTTTCTCTAAAAGATCAGTAAATTTGGCCATCCTTAATGGCATCAACCAACGAGACCTAGTTACAGGTTAGGTTTCACTAGTTTCCGTATAGAACATTGTTTGGTGGCATTAACCAACGAGACCTAGTTACATGCAGGTTAGGTTTCACTAGTTTCCGTATAGAACATGGTTTGGTGGCATTAACCAACGAAACCTAGTTACAGGTTAGGTTTCACTAGTTTCCCTAATAGAACATAAGGGTTACCGGATTTCAGATAAAGAAGGATTACACGTTAAGGGACCGTGGCTTAGGCGATAAAGAGGCATAATGTTTTCCCTAAGCTCTGATCTGTTTCCCGTTAAGGGACCTTAGGCGATAAAGAGGCATAATGTTTTCCCTAAGCTCTGATCTGTTTCCCGTCTAGGGACCTTAGGCGATAAAGAGGCATAATGTTTTCCCTAAGCTCTGATCTGTTTCCCGTCAAGGGACCTTAGGCGATAAAGAGGCATAATGTTTTCCCTAAGCTCTGATCTGTTTCCCGTTAAGGGACCTTAGGCGATAAAGAGGCATAATGTTTTCCCTAAGCTCTGATCTGTTTCCCGTTAAGGGACCTTAGGCGATAAAGAGGCATAATGTTTTCCCTAAGCTCTGATCTGTTTCCCGTCAAGGGACCTTAGGCGATAAAGAGGCATAATGTTTTCCCTAAGCTCTGATCTGTTTCCCGTCAAGGGACCTTAGGCGATAAAGAGGCAAAATGTTTTCCCTAAGCTCTGATCTGTTTCCCGTTCAGGGACCTTAGGCGATAAAGAGGCATAATGTTTTCCCTAAGCTCTGATCTGTTTCCCGTCAAGGGACCTTAAGAATAAAGAGGCAAAAATGTTTTCCCTAAGCTCTGATCTGTTTCCCGTCAAGGGACCTTAGGCGATAAAGAGGCGCATTTTTCCCCTAAATTCTGATCTGTTTACCGTTAAGGGACATTAGGCGATAAAGAGGCATACTGTCTTCCCTAAGCTCTGAATTGTTTCCCGTTAAGGGACTTTAAGAATAAAGAGGCAAAAATGTTTTCCCTAAGCTCTGATCTGTTTCCCGTTAAGGGACCTTAGGCGATAAAGAGGCATAATGTTTTCCCTGCACGAGCTCTGATCTGTTTCCCGTTAAGGTACTTAAGGCGATAAAGAGACATATTGTTTGGCAGTCTATCAAGTCAAATTAATTCTTTTCATATAGAATTTCAAAACCAATCACAAATATTAAAAACAAACAGAGCCCCTTCAGTAAATTGATTGTTGTTTTGAGTAGTGAACGGTAGTTATTTTCCATACATTTTCACCTATAATTTGTGTTAAACTCAACATATTTAATATTATTTGTATAGTTTTAAAAAAGAAAAAATTGATAAGAAAAGAAAAATCGGCAGAGGTGGGGTCTTAAATTCTTAATCGGCTTCTAGACAATTTTTCTGTATTCTTTATTTGTTTGCCTCTAATGCTCTATTCTTTATATTTTATCACGCCATTATTTTCTGTTCTTTTTTTTTGGCAAATTATTCTTTATTCTCAGGATTTGCATGATTTTTAAGAATAAAATCGTCCAAAAAGAAATTTCGCCAATAGATATAAGAAGATGTGGTATGAGTGCCAATGAAACAACTCTCCATCCAAGTCAAAATTTATAAAAGTAAACCATTATAGGTCAAAGTACGGTCTTCAACACGTAGCCTGGCATCCTGACCCAATCTAATACTTCGTCGATAGGTCTACTGTCAAGCAGTTGGCCAGGCTCCCATGCTATTCAACACGAAGCCTTGGCTCACACCGAACAGCAAGCTATAAAGGGCCCCAAAAGTTACTAGTGTAATGCATGGTTAAAGATCGTTTGTTTGTCTCTAGATGTCTTTTGATTGTCATAGCCCCGGCGGGTTGTTGTCTCATGGTCAGTGTTGTTTGTGTCATAGCCCCGGCGGGTTGTTGTCTCATGGTCAGTGTTGTTTGTGTCATAGCCCCGGCGGGTTGTTGTCTCATGGTCAGTGTTGTTTGTGTCATAGCCCCGGCGGGTTGTTGTCTCATGGTCAGTGTTGTTTGTGTCATAGCCCCGGCGGGTTGTTGTCTCATGGTCAGTGTTGTTTGTATCATTTCCCGGGTTGTTGTCTCATTGTCAGTGGTGTTTGTATCATTTCCCGGGTTGTTGTCTCATGGTCAGTGCTGTTTGTGTAATAACCCCGGCGGGTTGTTGTCTCATGGTCAGTGCTGTTTGTATCATTTCCCGGGTTGTCTCATTGTCTGTGTTGTTTGTGTCACAGCCCCGGTGGGTTGTTGTCTCATGGTCAGTGTTGTTTGTGTCATAGCCCCGGTGGGTTGTTGTCTCATGATCAGTATCGTTTGTGTCATAGCCCAGGCGGGTTGTTGTCTCATGGTCAGTGAAGTTTGTATCATAGCCCGGCGGGTTGTTGTCTCATGGTCAGTGTTGTTTGTGTCATAGCCCTGGTGGGTTGTTGTCTAATGGTCAGTGTTGTTTGTATCAGTTCCTTGGTTGTTGTCTCATGGTCAGTGTTGTTTGTATCATTGCCCCAGTGTGTTGTTGTCTCATGGTCAGTGTCGTTTGTGTCATAGCCCCGGCGGGTTGTTGTCTCATGGTCAGTGTCGTTTGTGTTATAGCCCCGGCGGGTTGTTGTCTCATGGTCAGTGTCGTTTGTGTCATAGCCCCGGTGGGTTTTTCTGTATTCTTTATTTGTTTGCCTCTAATGCTCTATTCTTTATATTTTATCACGCCATTATTTTCTGTTCTCTTATTTTTTTGGCAAATTATTCTTTATTTCTCAGGATTTGCATGATTTTTAAGAATAAAATCGTCCAAAAAGAAATTTCGCCAATAGATATAAGAAGATGTGGTATGAGTGCCAATGAAACAACTCTCCATCCAAGTCAAAATTTATAAAAGTAAACCATTATAGGTCAAAGTACGGTCTTCAACACGTAGCCTGGCATCCTGACCCAATCTAATACTTCGTCGATAGGTCTACTGTCAAGCAGTTGGCCAGGCTCCCATGCTATTCAACACGAAGCCTTGGCTCACACCGAACAGCAAGCTATAAAGGGCCCCAAAAGTTACTAGTGTAATGCATGGTTAAAGATCGTTTGTTTGTCTCTAGATGTCTTTTGATTGTCATAGCCCCGGCGGGTTGTTGTCTCATGGTCAGTGTTGTTTGTGTCATAGCCCCGGCGGGTTGTTGTCTCATGGTCAAGTGTTGTTTGTCTCTTAGCCCCGGCGGGTTGTTGTCTCATGGTCAGTGTTGTTTGTGTCATAGCCCCGGTGGGTTGTTGTCTCATGGTCAGTGTTGTTTGTGTCATAGCCCCGGCGGGTTGTTGTCTCATGGTCAGTGTTGTTTGTATCATTTCCCGGGTTGTTGTCTCATTGTCAGTGGTGTTTGTATCATTTCCCGGGTTGTTGTCTCATGGTCAGTGCTGTTTGTGTAATAACCCCGGCGGGTTGTTGTCTCATGGTCAGTGCTGTTTGTATCATTTCCCGGGTTGTCTCATTGTCTGTGTTGTTTGTGTCATAGCCCCGGTGGGTTGTTGTCTCATGGTCAGTGTTGTTTGTGTCATAGCCCCGGCGGGTTGTTGTCTCATGGTCAGTGTTGTTTGTATCATTTCCCGGGTTGTTGTCTCATGGTCAGTGGTGTTTGTATCATTTCCCGGGTTGATGTCTCATGGTCAGTGCTGTTTGTGTAATAACCCCGGCGGGTTGTTGTCTCGTGGTCAGTGCTGTTTGTATCATTTCCCGGGTTGTCTCATTGTCTGTGTTGTTTGTGTCATAGCCCCGGTGGGTTGTTGTCTCATGGTCAGTGTTGTTTGTGTTATAGCCCCGGTGGGTTGTTGTCTCATGGTCAGTATCGTTTGTGTCATAGCCCAGGCGGGTTGTTGTCTCATGGTCAGTGAAGTTTGTATCATAGCCCGGCGGGTTGTTGTCTCATGGTCAGTGTTGTTTGTGTCATAGCCCTGGTGGGTTGTTGTCTAATGGTCAGTGTTGTTTGTATCAGTTCCTTGGTTGTTGTCTCATGGTCAGTGTTGTTTGTATCATTGCCCCAGTGTGTTGTTGTCTCATGGTCAGTGCCGTTTGTGTCATAGCCCCGGCGGGTTGTTGTCTCGTGGTCAGTGTCGTTTGTGTTATAGCCCCGGCGGGTTGTTGTCTCATGGTCAGTGTCGTTTGTGTCATAGCCCCGGTGGGTTTTTCTGTATTCTTTATTTGTTTGCCTCTAATGCTCTATTCTTTATATTTTATCACGCCATTATTTTCTGTTCTCTTTTTTTTTGGCAAATTATTCTTTATTCTCAGGATTTGCATGATTTTTAAGAATAAAATAGTCCAAAAAGAAATTTCGCCAATAGATATAAGAAGATGTTGTATGAGTGCCAATGAAACAACTCTCCATCCAAGTCAAAATTTATAAAAGTAAACCATTATAGGTCAAAGTACGGTCTTCAACACGTAGCCTGGCATCCTGACCCAATCTAATACTTCGTCGATAGGTCTACTGTCAAGCAGTTGGCCAGGCTCCCATGCTATTCAACACGAAGCCTTGGCTCACACCGAACAGCAAGCTATAAAGGGCCCCAAAAGTTACTAGTGTAATGCATGGTTAAAGATCGTTTGTTTGTCTCTAGATGTCTTTTGATTGTCATAGCCCCGGCGGGTTGTTGTCTCATGGTCAGTGTTGTTTGTGTCATAGCCCCGGCGGGTTGTTGTCTCATGGTCAAGTGTTGTTTGTGTCATAGCCCCGGCGGGTTGTTGTCTCATAGTCAGTGTTGTTTGTGTCATAGCCCCGGCGGGTTGTTGTCTCATGGTCAGTGTTGTTTGTGTCATAGCCCCGGCGGGTTGTTGTCTCATGGTCAGTGTTGTTTGTATCATTTCCCGGGTTGTTGTCTCATTGTCAGTGGTGTTTGTATCATTTCCCGGGTTGTTGTCTCATGGTCAGTGCTGTTTGTGTAATAACCCCGGCGGGTTGTTGTCTCATGGTCAGTGCTGTTTGTATCATTTCCCGGGTTGTCTCATTGTCTGTGTTGTTTGTGTCATAGCCCCGGTGGGTTGTTGTCTCATGGTCAGTGTTGTTTGTGTCATAGCCCAGGCGGGTTGTTGTCTCATGGTCAGTGAAGTTTGTATCATAGCCCGGCGGGTTGTTGTCTCATGGTCAGTGTTGTTTGTGTCATAGCCCTGGTGGGTTGTTGTCTAATGGTCAGTGTTGTTTGTATCAGTTCCTTGGTTGTTGTCTCATGGTCAGTGTTGTTTGTATCATTGCCCCAGTGTGTTGTTGTCTCATGGTCAGTGTCGTTTGTGTCATAGCCCCGGCGGGTTGTTGTCTCGTGGTCAGTGTCGTTTGTGTCATAGCCCCGGCGGGTTGTTGTCTCATGGTCAGTGTCGTTTGTGTCATAGCCCCGGTGGGTTATTGTCTCATGGTCAGTGTCGTTTGTGTCATAGCCCCGGCGGGTTGTTGTCTCATGGTCAGTGTTGTTTGCTTCATTTCCTGGGTTGTTGTCTCATTGTCAGTGTTGTTTGTATCATTTCCTGGGTTGTTGTCTCATGGTCAGTGTTGTTTGTATCATTTCCTGGGTTGTTGTCTCATTGTCAGTGTTATTTACTTCATTTCCTGGGTTGTTGTCTCATGGTCAGTGTTGTTTGTATCATTTCCTGGGTTGTTGTCTCATTGTCAGTGTTGTTTGTATCATTGCCCAGGTTGTTGGCTCAGTGACGTACACCTGGTCCACAACTTTTTCTATTAATATTTGTGTTAAAGTTGTCTCCGCTGGAATGATAACAGATTCCATGATTTCTGAATAAGTCAACAAAGTGAAAATTTCTTACACATTTTTAAAAACTTTTGAGCATGTGAGTGGGATTATTAATGTAACTCCTCAATAATAACACTTTTTATCAAATTTGGTGTGTCCGACAGACCGAAGCGCTTTGGTGATTCACCTACAACAGGAACGCTCAACTAAAAAAATTGAAACCCATTGGATTTATTGTACGTGAGTACGTGAGGGGCTTTATGATCTGAATGGATCAAAAAGAAATGATAAAATTTAATTTAGGTCAACTTTGCCTGAAATAGTTGGAACCCTAGTTTCTTGGTAATCTTTAAATTGATCAAGAATGTTATCGATCGTCTCAGTACCGACGGACTGACTACAGAGCTGATGATACTCTCGGGGACTAACAGTTCGTCAGCAGCAGTAACGAACCAGTGCTAGAAAAATAAAAATAACATATTACAACTGAATTTGGCGCACCCGAAGCATTTTCCGAATTTACCTTTATCCGGAACGATCTAACATAAAAAAGTGAAAGCCATGTATTTATAAATATCTGAATATGCGAGGCCGGAACTTTAGGATTAAAATGGACCTAAAAGAATCGCCAAATTCATCTAAATCAACATCATAATCTTAGTATCAAAAATTTTGTAACAAAACATCCGTTTTAGCAGAGACATGTATATATTATACCAGAGGTCCATTACTAGACTTCTGATTATACTTTATGTCAAAATGCCAGATTTTGATTGGTTAATGCGAGGGAGATAATTTACTCTATCCCATGGCAATACTCTATTACCTTTCACCGAGATGCTTGATCAATTGTGCGCTTAATTCAATACCGATGGTTGTTATGTACAAGACGTCATAGTTTATTACTGATCATTGCTTTGAATTTTAAACTTAATAGACAGTAATAACAGAACATCCAGTATAAAAGATTAAATAACATATAGCTGAGAGGGTGATATAGCAGATTGTTACCCCACGGAAAAGACATTGTCAACCTTGGCTTCTTTTCGGTTGACAATGTTGTCTCGGGGTAACAAATAATCTGCTCTATCACCCTCTCAGCTATCGTGTTATTTATATAAAATATGTCTCTGGTTATAGTGACTAAACTTGACACTTGTAAGCGTGTAACGAATGTTTGATTATTTTATATACTAGTATATGAAAAAAAAAAATGATTTTCGAATTTTAGGGGTAAAATATTGGCCTAATTTCATATAGTCTCCATTTGTTTATTAACGTAATATGTATTTACATTTACAGGGGGACTGGGGTTGGTACTTGGAAGTGCGATACAGAGGCGAAGAGGCTAAAAGTACAGGTATGTTACAACTGTTATACGCATTTTATACACAGTTACTCAGTTAGCAGATTTAAACAAAAGTATCATGTTTTTTTTTATTTATTTCTTATTTCCTGTCTATTTGTATTACATTATTAATGTATTTAACGTTGGCATCAATATGTCCTTGTTTTCTAGCATGTGCAGTTTACTATCCATACATTTGTTTAAACCTGATTTTATCTTAAATATGAACACTTGTTCAGGGGAAATGTCGCCGTTCACATGCATAATGTCGATAAAGAGCAATCGCAGGAAGTATGGTTACAATTCTGTAACATCTGAATTCAATGAAAGTTTCTTTTTGCCATCTTTTATGGGATGTGAAAGCATTAACCGAGGTCCGTTTTGTGTGAAGCGCATGATTGACACCTTTACTGGGACACAATAGATTATTCTATTCCCAGCTTTCACAAACCTATAAAAGTACAAAAAAAGATTGTTATTATAATAACATTGTTATGCTTTCACAATGGATTTAGGATAATCAGGCTTTCTCTTTGCCTTTTTTTTAACGTTGTCACAGAGAGCACGTTCAGTCATAAAATTGTTTTTAATATTTTCAAACAAAACAATAATTTTGTAATGCCTCATAATTCTTGTTTACCAATCAAAACTACAGAATCGTCTGAGCAGCTATACAATGCAATTAAAGCCAAATGTCTAAAACGGAGGAAATTTCAGCTGCGACAGCGTTCATACTGTTAAAGTCAAAGATTCCAAACTGCACACTGCTAAGTATCTACGACTAGGTCGCCACAAAACATTCCCTGCAGTAGCAAAAAGTTGAACTGATTTATAGTTGGTACAAAATAGGTTAAAATGTTAAAGAGTTTCAGTTATAAGTGGAAATTTCGAAGATTTACAGAATTAAATGTATTGAAAATATGTCCTTACCTTAGAGTTAAAAAATTTGCTTTAACTTAAATTAAAATATTGTTTTTTGTTTTGCAGAAGAGGTTGTCCCAAGTCACTGTTTACACAACATCAAACAGCCATGATACATCACAGAAATAAAAACAATAGCTGTACAATACATTTTGTTTGTTTTTATCATTTAGTAACAATGGATCCCAAATGAGCAACAAAAGAAATAAAGCCACTGAACGTTTCCAACACTAAGATTTCTATACAATAGTCTCTGCTCTTATTTTAACATTAAATATGCAATATTGGACAGTAGGAAAGCAGATAAAACATGTAAAACTTATTTATACAGGACCTGAGATCATATGTGTGTCAACATTTTTTTGCAAGAGATCAATGTTGACATTATTTCAAGAGCTATTCACAAAAATACCAGGTACTGAAATCAGTTACTCAAGTAAATCTAAGGTGAAGCATTGGCGTTTCTTCTGAGAAATATCGATTTCAATATGTATCAATTTTAATAGCTCTAGATAATAAATTGCTTCGTCGAGCGCAGCTGGATACGACCGCAGAGGTCCAACCCTGAACAGTTGGGGCAAAAATGGACACAATATTCGCGCCTTGATACAGGTCTGAATTTGGATTGTAATTAAATATTTGACAGATAATAGGTTTCTGACACAGAATAACTGTAGTCAAAGAACTTAGAATTGGTTATATGATTTGAATTTATATTCAATTTTTTGCTTTTGTGCAATACACTATGCTGTTGCGAATTGACACCCCCCCCTTTTTTTTGCAAAATATTTAAGAAATTTTCTTTTTAATTTCTGAAATCTGAAATGAGAAAAAATTGTCCCCCCCTCACAATTTCTTTTTCACCCCCCCCCCCCCCTTTTTTCCCAAAAAAAAATTCTTTCCCTCAAGATATGGTCATAATCTCAATTCAAGTTTCCAATGGAGTTTGCAACCATAATAACCCATTTAAATACATCATAAAAGTCTTAAAATAGAAAATGACATACATAATCATGGCTAAAATTAATATTCCTTAATCAGCATTTTTAAATTGTAACTTCTAAAAATAAATTGAAAACTTATCACCTCAAGACAATACAACATTTCTTTATACATAATTTAAAAGCAGTGTAAGGGAGGCAATCCAAACATAACATTGTACTTTTTTTAATTGTCCATTAACCAGGAAACCCTTGTTTTCCCCCTTTTTTGCCCCTAATTCCTAAACGGTTTGAGCCATAACCCCCCCAAAGCCAATCCTAACCATCCCTATATGGTATGGAAACTTGTGGAATAATTTCAGAGAGATCCATACACCGTTCCACAAGTTATTGTCTGGAAACTAGAAAAATGCTTATTTGGTCCCTTTTTGGCCCATAATTCCTCTAAACTGTTAGGATTATAACCCCTAAAATCAATTCCAACCTTCCTTTTGCGGTTATAAACCTTGTGTTTAAATTTCATAGATTTCTATTCACATTTACTAAAGTTATTGTCTGGAAACCAAATATCTTCGGACAACGTGATACCAATATACGACCGCAAATTTTTTTGCGGTCGTATAAAAAATAAAATTCAAATTTATGTTGCATAAAACTTGATACCATGATTTATAGCAGAGACATATATACAATGTATCTATATGTCTCTGGTTATAGGAGTTATTAACAGTGAGAATTATGTACTTTTAAAGTTTTTTCCAACTTCAACACCGACACATGTATTTAGACAAATACATCAATGCTAAAGACATTTATTTTAATAAAATACCTCATTGAAGTACGTCTAGAACCAAAGAAAGTTGAGTTGCAACACACAATTTTGTTCAATTACTCCAAAATCCATGGTAGATTGTTGCCAATGAGTGCAGGAAGTCATGGATTCAATACACTACTGAGTCAAACCAGACTTGAAAGTTGATATTTGCTGCTTGTATATGTAACATGTAGCATTTTTTAAGAGTTAGAGCATAAAGTCATAATGTGCCTGGACAGGGTCAGAGGTCTTCCAGTGTAGAGTTACCTTGTGTGAACAAGCCTCATAATCTTGCCTGTCAAATCATACTCAGCAGTTCAAAGCAGGGTTCATATTCAAATCACATTAAAATGTTCTCGTCCAGACATGCAAGTTATATTTGCAACTGTGGGTTAAAACATTAATCCACTCCAAATGTGCCTGTCCCAAGGCTGGAAACATGCCAGTTGTCTTTTGTTTCATAACATGTCAATGTTCACATGGAATTGAAATCAGCTGTTTATTATTCTCAGCTGATATGTAATTCTACAATAAAGGATGAATGGATGTAAAGATGTCTGTGTCTAGTGGCAAATATTACATGCACAATCTTAATGTGACATGACTCGTAGATTATTTGAGGAGATTATTTGATGATAGCTGAAGAAAAGTTAACAATGGCGGTGCACCATAATAAAACAGGTCATAAACAAGAAACAACAAAATAAACATATCAAAATAATTTATGATATTTGAATGGATGTTAAATATCACAATACATAACAGAATACTGTTATACAGGCTTATACACAACACATAAGGCGCTCACACATGTACACACACAACTTTCATACACTTTTATGGCAAGTCCTATACAATACAACCTATAATAAATGCCATCACAGTCATCTTTGTGGTACCTTCGGCAAATTAAACCTACTGGCAGAAAAATAAAAAAATTGTTTGGAAGAGTTACTATAATGTTTGGCAAAAGTAGGAACATGGTATGTACATCAGTAAAAAACAAAAAAATAGAAAAAAACCCTTACATCTAATTATCCCTGTCTGGCCCTTAAAACTTGAAACTAATAAACCTCCTAAATTTCAACATTAGGCACTATATAGTTTTTCCTATAATTTGAAAAATAATTTGGAAGTATTTTTCATTTGAGTTTATATTTTCTGGACGTAAATTACTAAAAATTTCCACTTGAAATAAAAGGCCCTTGCACCAACGTAAAATAATGTACAATTTTGGCATATACGTTTAAACATAATACTGTACCAGGAGATATATTTGCCGAAGGGTATACCTAACAAAATGTTAATATAGACGTCAAACTAATATAGCGTTGTCAACAGCATATAAATATCTAATCATGTGATACTGATCTAATGATATATCATACATGTAACGAATATTATCGAAAAATATCTCGAAATCTCTGACACATTGATGAATCTTTTCGAAATAATTATTCAGGAATAAAACTGTAACATCAAGCTGTATTGTTTTCCCCAATACTTAAGGTATAATTTTAGTATAATGTGTCCAGTTAACCAAATTGATATCTGCCTTAGTAGAAATACTGACCAATTGTTAATCAAAATTTGAAGGAAACACTGTTGAATTTAAGTGCATTTTTAAAGGTCAAAATAATTAAGATGATTAGAACCTAGCTTTCCATAGATAATGATAAAGTTTCATCTGAGGAGAATGTAACAGAGACTGTCAAGATTTGAACAGATGATTACAAATAAAAATGCCAACAAATGCAGTTTGGTCTGAACTGAATAAGGGAAGTAACCCACAACGTGATTTTGAATAGAGCTAATTCATGTATCACAGTTACAATACTAGCCAGATAGCTTTTGGACAGGAGCTAACTCACAATATATCTTGAAAGTAGGGAGCTTAAGCAATGTGTGTCTTCAAACAAGGGAGCTAACTCCCATATCACATTTACTGTACTAGCAAAATATTTTATAATGCTACATAACAGGATTTTCTAGTCCTTTGCTAAATAAAAATGCAAACCGGTCTATAAAATGCCATTATTTTTGTCAAAGATAACTCTATACAGTTTGATCAGTAAAGCAGGATTTCTCAAATAAGAAAACCGAAAAAAAAGAAAAAGAAAATCAAATTAAGCTTTCTACCTTTTATACTTATCAATTTATTTTGATTTTCTAGTTTTCTCATTTCCCAATCAAACATACAAGAAATATGTATAATTATAATTTAAAAATCCTAAACAAACAAATACCAGTAATTTACATCTTAAAAGAGAAGAATCGGAATGCTGGACAGTATGAAAATAGTTTTTGGAAAAAATTAAGACTAATATCAGACTTGTCAAATGAATAAATAAACATATACACAAATTTACAATGAATTGACTTAGCACCATAACAAAATACATCAAGGCCATGTCAAAAAAATCTTTGTTGACTCAAGCTAACTTTTTATTTTGGGATGCAGCAGGATGGCCAATACTTTGTTAGTTTGAAGTAGAATGACATCCCAGCATCCTATATTATGAGACTTATTGAATATTTAAATCAATTGAAATTGATTTGATTGTAATTAAAACATATTTTGGTTAAAAAAAAACATATTCACTAATTCTTATTATATTCTAAAGGGAATAATTTCAATAATTTTGCTACTTTAGAAAAAAAAAGTGAAAAATTTGTGGCCTAAATTTTTGTAGATTTAACCTTATAGTCCACACTGTACTATAGTTTTGTTCTCTTCCAAATGTACATCCATTAAAGATGTATATTTCAGAAACAGATCTAGGATACCCAATATAGGCTCATTTGTTCCTCAAAGGCAAGACAAAAAAACATTTCCCATTTTTCTTAATACATGTGTAAGTTGGTGAAAATAAAATCTTTCAATTCGAATGAGGAATGTGACTGAAGAAAAAAATATTTTTCTTATAAATAAATAAATTATATCACAACCTTGACAGTTCACAACACAGTTATGTAAACATAATTTTGATTATCTATTTTTTGGCAACAAAATACTGAAAAAATTCATTTGTTGTCAAACCTTATAATTTATAACATACAAAAATAACATGATTTTCTTTCCTCAGCTTTTAAAAATATCTAATAAATTTTAAGAGTTCACCAAATTTCTTCCTTAGTACAGCCTATTATACATGATATATGTGTTTCAAAGTTTTAGCAACTTAAAAAAAAAGGCTGAGCAAATTAATACAAAGAAAAACTTATAGCCTTAATAAATAACCTAACTTTTACAAATGTTAAATTTACAGTAAATAATTTCCAATGAAAGCTCTGTAGTAAATCTCAGAATCAACCCAGTGTAATGTAAAAAAGATATTTGGGTACTGTGTGCTGTTTCTCTTTAACAAAGACATTAATGGTACCAGCTTTACTGCACCAGAGGCACATCACCACAAGAAATATCTCTTCAGTGATGACAACATTTACATTGATTCATTTTACCGTTAGGTAAATTATTCATGTAGAATGTAAAATCAGCTTTTAAAATATTATTTAGCAGTACAGCACCCTTCAAAATAATTAAAATGAAAATGACCTCATACTTATGTATTTAAGTTTCTTTGTAAATCAAATGAAATAGTGTATGGAATTTATAGTTAAAACAACATCTTTTCTTTGTTATTTCATTATCAAATCAAAAAAAAATTTCTTAAATTTTTTGTATGCATTTTTAATGCACAGAGATTTTTTCGAGGCAAATGTACTATTGTTTTAAATTTTTATTACATTCTTTTCTTTAGAATATATTTTTGTTTTCATTTAATAATTACACTGGGTTGAAGATGTACATGAAACTATCTATATATTTTTGTGTATGTTATCTTGTCAACTTTTTGAAAATATTTTTTCCTTTTGATAAGAAGCTGCTTCCTTTGCGTTTTTGCTTGACTTCATCTGGTGTAGTAGACCGGGAATCAGTTTTCTGATTAGAGTTATCTAACCTATCCTGTGGTAGAGGCTCCACTGTGGCATGTGATCCCACCCTCTGTGTCTGCTGAAATAAAATAAAAATAAAAAAAACTTTGTAAAATACATTTCAGTATTTAGAACAAATATTTTGTAAGATTATGAGTCTAATACTATTCCATTTGAAAAATGTTGAATTAAAGCTAAAAAGATGACAATAGAAATTTTATTTTATCAGAGAATATGAAAACCTTAAAAAATAAAATAAACATTTTTTTACAGGGTTCCCACTCTTATTTGAAATCCAAATGTCACGAACTTTCAAGGACATTCACTTTTTTCAAAGATGTTAGCAGAAGGCAAAGATAAAGAAAAGATAAGTTAGCATTGACTGTAAGACATTTGAACAAGCCTCCATTTACAGGAGCAACATGACAGGTGCCGCATGTGGAGCAAGATCTGCTTACCCTTCTGGAGCAATTGATATCACCCTAAATTACATGGTGTTTTTTTTTTAATTCTTGTTGTTTTCAGGGGAATTTTAAGGCCTGAAACAACTAAAAAAAAATCCAGGCTATTTACAAATTTTAAAGGTGGATACCTATTTTTTTTACACATGGAAATAACATATATCCTCTCTTGTTACACAGCACTGTTGTATACAATTGAAAATAATGTCAAAATTAAACGTACAAAATGTTTTTAATTTGAATTTCTTAATTCAGAAAACAAATTTTCCTCTTTCTCAGTCAAAAAATTAATCACACCCACTTCCCTCAAAGAAATCAATGCAAAAATTTTCATTTAATGTCTATAAAGTGAGAAAAAATACCACTTCAAAGAATGTTAATTACACACCAACCAACTAGCCATTCTAACAAAATACACACATTTTCAACAAATATCTCACCTTTTTCACTGAAGAAAAAAATACCATAATAAAAATCAAAACTCCATTTTTTTCCCTAATTCATACAAATTCGTGCCCAAATTCTAGATCACAAATACTAAATATGAAAAATTTTACTACAGAAAATTGGTATCAGGTGTGTCTTTTTCTTATATTGTTGGTTATATAGATATAAGAAGATGTGGTATGAGTGCCAATGAGACAACTCTCCATCCAAGTCACAATTTATAAAAGTAAACCATTATAGGTCACAGTACGGTCTTCAACACGCACACCGAACAGTAAGCTATAAAGTGCCCCAAAAATTATGTTGTTTTAATAATAGATATACCCCACATCAACTTTAAGTCATATTATGATTTTTAAATTTATTTGTCCTATTTGTTCTGATGTTCTGTAAATTCAAAGGTTTTTGCCATAATTTTATTACTGTGAAATAAGTGATTGGAGATTGAAAGCATCAAACTAAAAACAACTGCTATCTAAAATTCTTATACAACTACTTATAGGCATTATTTCAAATAATTATTTACCAAAATTAATATTTTTAGTCAATCAACAATAATGGAATTAATAAATGGATTAAGTATGGGACTTCTCAACTCTTGATGACGTACAGATGGTCATGTATATGGAAAGTCGTCAGGCATACCATTTTAATACAAGTAGGTAACATTCATAACCTTTAAACACCGTCAAAAATAAAAATGATTACTTCATTCATATACACAAAACTAGAGGCTCTCAAGAGCCTGTGTCGCTCACCTGTATTTACTGATGCTTTGGAAATCATGTAAAATAAGGTTAAAATCATAATTAATAGTATTAGATATTAGATATTATGATGATATCTAAGATAATAACAAAAAACTGCAAATTTTTTGTAAAATTACTAACTCAGGGGCAGCAACCCAACAACAGGTTGTCGGTTTCGTCTGAAAATTTCAGGGCAGATAAATCTAAATCTGATGAACATTTTTGCCACCTGTCAAATTTGCCCTTAATGCTTTAGTTTCAGAGATATAAACCAAAAACTGCATTTTACCCCTATGTTCTATTTTTAACCAAGTCGGCCATGATGGTTGGAAGGCGGGGTCATCGGACAAATTTTTTAAACTAGATACCCTTATAATGATTATGGCCAAGTATGGTTAAATTTGTCTTAGTAGTTTCAGAGAAGAAGATTTTTGTAAAAGATTACAAAAATTTACAAAAAATTGTTAAAAATTGACTATTAAGGGCAATAACTCCTAAAGGGGTCGACTGACAATTTTGGTTATGGCAACTTATTTGTAGATCTTACTTTGCTGAACATTATTGCTGTTTACAGTTTATCTCTATCTATAATAATATTCAAGATAATAAACAAAAACTGCAAAATTTCCTTAAAATTACCAATTCAGGGGCAGCAACCCAACAACAGGTTGTCAGATTCGTCTGAAAATTTCAGGGCAGATAGATCTTGACCTGATAATCAGTTTTACACCAGAGGAGAAAATTTTTGTAATAAGCTAACGACGACTGACGTCGACGACGGACGACAAGTGATGAGAAAAGCTCACTTGGCCCTTCGGGCCAGGTGAGCTAAAAATATATGGTTAATTTCAAAAGCTAAACCTACTGAAAAAAGTTCGAACCAAAACCATATATAAACCTAAATTTCTAAAAATACCTCATCTTTTCTTATTATTTCATTTCCTCATCACTTAGTGAGCGATGTCCTTTCAAAAGTGATTGAAATGAGTTTCTAAGCATTTGTATGAGTGTTTTAGATCTAAAAGTTGGGTTGAAAATTTGTTTTATTTCATCTGTATTCATGCTGCTGTTGTCGTCAGAGTTTTCTACTGTTGTCCAACTAAAATTGAAGAAGTTCAACTCAATTTTATTTGATCCCCTAAATACTAGGTAAGGGCAGATAACTGAATTGACCAAAATTTATTCAGTTTGCATGCTACTGACAACCCTATCCAGTGGGAGGGGCATAGAATGCTTCCCCCCAAAAAAAAAATTTTGTTTTGTTTTCGTTATTTACTAGTTATATGACTTTTTAGCATAACATTATTCAAAAAAAATTTCATCAGATCAGCTGGGCTGTATATATTATGTTTTCTAGAATTACAAGAATTACACCCCCTTTCAAAAATCTTGGTTCTGCTTCTGCTATCTTCCCCAAAATTACAATGGTATTCCACTTAAAAGGTATGAATTTATGGCAGTTTTTTAAATTTAACGCATGAACTTTTTTTTTTTTTTAAATTAGACCAACTAATACATACTACTGACACCCTTTCATATCATAGAAATAATGTTAACATAGCAAATTTTACGTTTGTGTATAAATGTTTGCACTTATCAACACTTGTGTAAATCAAATAGTGAGAATAGTTGTGCTTCTTACTGACAAGTCTGTGTATAACTCCCCAATAACGGAAAATGTAAAATCGGAAGAAAAGAAAGTGTGTCATGTGTCACGAGTGTAAGATAGGAAGAAAAGAAAGTGTGTCAGGTGTCACGAGTGTAAGATAGGGAGAGTGTCGTGTGTCACAAGCATTCTAATGGAATCTGCTGTAGAGCTTACTTTACCACTACTCAAAAGAATACTTTTTCAACAAAGTCTTTCAGTAAAACTGGGTTTTAAAATAGCATTGGAAGTTCACCATCTGATTAAAGATTAACATTTATGTATTTTACTCTTGGCCAATTATTCTAATAGATTGAACAAGTTTCTATTGTCTTCAGTTGATCGACAGGTATTCTTTTCAGTTTTGTGAAATCACTAATTTTTCAATCATATTGTGGGAATGAATAAAAGTATGAGCACATGTCCTGATCTGTCATAAAAGTATGAGCACATGTCCTGATCTGTCATCGAATTATGAGCACATGTCCTGATCTGTCATCAAAGTATGAGCACATGTCCTGATCAGTCATAAAAGTATGAGTACATGTCCTGATCTGTCATCAAAGTATGAGCACATGTCCTGATCAGTCATAAAAGTATAAGCACATGTCCTGATCTGTCATCAAAGTATAAGCACATGTCCTGATCTGTCATAAAAGTATAAGCACATGTCCTGATCTGTCATAAAAGTATAAGTACATGTCCTGATCTGTCATAAAAGTATGAGCTGATGTCCTGATTTGTCATCAAATAATGAACTTTTAATGATATTTTCAAACTTGGTGCATTCAGCTAACAATAGTACAATTTTTACATTTTCTACATAATTGGTTTGAGCACTTGTTCAATCATCAATGGTAGTATAAAGCTTACATGTGTACAATATCCCTTCTGCCATTTTGAAGCACTGCTTGCAAACACCAATCATTTAGTGCAAAAGTGTGCAAAGTTCATGCAATCTCTTTACATTCTCATGCAATTCTTGTATTTGCTGAAATGCTTATTGCTTCAGAAAATGTTAAATTTCAAATAGAAAAAAAGAGAGTTTTATAACTTGAATTAAAAAAGGCTCGCCTAGCTTTTCTAATTGTTTCATAGCGAGTTCAAGTAAATTTTATATTTTCCAACTATACACGAATATTGTTTGTATGCTGCAATAACATAAAATAGTTGAATTTGTCCTTGAAAGAAATCAACATGATATAAATATGGATAAGTTAATACAAAAAGAAGTTACTTTATTAAATGATATTGTTGTCTATATGTCATGTAGGTTTAATCTAAAAGTCATGATTCTTTTCAGAATTTTTTAAAGATTTACATACAATTTTACTTATCAACAAACATTTCAGCAACTCTAATCTGTGAACCATTTCCAAAACTATCTAACGTTCAATAATAAGCTGCATTGGCATAACTAAAGCTCGCACAAATGTTCAGTTTTGGAAATGGTTGAAAGTGTGCAATTATGTTTACTGAGCAACCGTTACCTAGGGGACGGCTGTTGTCATGGTGATATCACAGGGGTCTGGAAAAACAAACAATAAATATACCATGTTTTTTCTAATCTGAATCAAAATACTAAAATATATTTTCCATTTCTCATCACTATCACAAAAGAATTTAATTAGAATTTTCAATGCATTATCAAACAACTGAAAATCATATTAGCCATCGTCATTAAATATTTACACTTTATTATTCCTAATAAAAATTTGAAATGTACAAAAATACATTTCCCTTATGATCAACATTAAAAAAATAGTTGATCTATGACCAAAAGAATTCTTTTATGGCCTTCTTATGGTGTATCTGTCTTGCTACAATGCATTTATCAAAAAAAGAAAAAAAAAAGAAGAAAAAAGCAACTATGATGTGTTTTTTTTTTGGCCTTATCTGTTATCCTGTATACTAACTATTTTTTTGTATCTTTGTTCAGAAAATATCAAATATCAATAAATACAAAAAAAGGTATAAAAAGTGAGTGAGTGCATTTATATATTAAATTTAGACACACTTTTTGTGCAGATAATTGAAACGTATACAGATATGTGTTCTGTGTTTTGTGATATAATAAACAAATGAAACCCAAATTCTAATATTTGAAAACATCGAAATGAAAAATAGTAAATTTATTTGGCAAGCTTTTATGAGCTAAATGGACAAAAGAAAGCCATATCAATGAAAACTAAAAAAATATCCAATCATTGAATAAAGGGAAAAAAATGGCTTAGAAATGTAACCAACAATTAAACAGATTAAGAAAAACTGGCGTTTTTTAATAAATATATAATCTTGAAAAGAAATAAAAAATTGAAATAAGTTTAATTTGTACATCAATAAGGTCAAAGATGTCAGTGATGATAATTAATTTTGATTCTATAGCATTTTTTGGTAATCTTAAAACTCACATGGTATATTTTTAAAAATAATTAAAAACATTACAAAAACAAAATAACTGACAGATATATACATATATCAATTCAGGTTCATTGGCCAATGTTTTAACCCTCTGACAATGTATACTGAGTCTTATCTCCAAAACCCTTTTACTCATCAAATTTGCAAAGACTTTTTTTCATTATTGAATGAGTAGGAGGGTTGGCAGGCACATGAACTAAAAACAATGATTTTTAAAGAGGAACCATCTTAAAAGTATTAAGTTGTAAAATTAAAATTCATTCTGTTAAAGTAGCCTCAGTATAAACTATCAAGGTTGTTTCATGCTGAAAGTGTCCAAACAAAAGTGTGATATTAATTCAACACATATACAAATATAACATAAGATATAGGAAGAAAACCAATCTTAAAAGTAAGGATCACACATTACAGCATGCCATGTTCAGAGAAAACCACATTTTACTGTATGCCACTTTAAACAAACTTTGCAAACCCTTGTTTAAAATTGAAAAAGAATATTGATGTCAAAATTCATACAATTTGGTCTAAAAAAAACAATATCTTTGCTATAAAAGCTATATATAATTTGAACAGTTTGATTAAATTTTTGCTTTTTTTTATTACAATTTAAAAACTCATTCAAGTCAATAATTGAATGCAAAAATTAATTATTCACAAGTGTAAAATTATTGTTTTGCAATAAAACATTAAAAAGTAGATTCTCTTTTGAAATAATAATTAAAAACAATGTTAAATCAAGAGTCAAACACATCAATTGATAATTCATGCAAATTATTCATATGAAGAATTTAAATTACAAAAATCTGAAAAAACTAAATTGTCCTTAATATGGCTGAAATATTCATAAGGTTACTCAACAATTAACAATCAAACAATCAGAAAATGAATAAATGATTTTCATCAGGATCAAAGAGTAGACAGAAAGGGTTTGCAAGAGATTTAGAATAGTTTTAAGTTTTGTTGGCAAACAGAAGGTGCTAAAGTGCAATGTTGCAACCAAAATCAGTGAAATCAAAACAAATCAACAAAAATTTGACAACACTAAACATGCATGGAGAATGTTGGATCTCTTACTGTATCTGACTGGCGAGACAGAGTGGCGAGACTTTCTCCTGACCTGGCGGGTGATACAACGCTAGCACTCTCCATGGCTTCATCGTCTGTAAGTGGCGCCTCCTGGAGGAAGTTAGAAGGAACGAGGCCTCGCCTTCCATTGTGTTCGCCCATGAAGAAGCCGTCATCATCCATTTCACCATAAACCATAATTATGTCCCCTACTTTAAATGAAAGTTCAACCTGAAATAAAAGGATTTTGATAATGTTACATTTGTCAAGATGGGGTACTTGCCAATGAAATGCAACATTTTACTGTATTTATTTAGGATATAACACATTTAGAACATAAATTTACATATACAAATTTGTTGATAATCTGTTTTTATATAGTTTTATCTTTGATTTCATGAAGGAATACTGGTTGGCAGAATTTTCAAATTTTCCACTTTGTCCACTTCAAATTCATAATTTATACATTGTCTCAAAATTTTTATTTTTTTTTGCACTCTGCTCAAAAACAGGATGAAATACGCTGCAAAACCATTGCATTCTTAAATATCATCAGATCAGTAGTCAGTGCTTCAGTACCAACATAATTTAAAACATTTACTTATTTCAAATTCCCCGTTGATAAATTTATAAATTATTTAGAAACTAAGGTTTTCAACTCCCTCAGGCAAAGTTGACCTCAGACAAATGTGGGTATTTGTTTTACGTCTCTTTTGGTCATATAGCTGATGACTTTTCAGCTTGTATGAGTGTTTCTGATGAAGGTAAATACAAAATAGTGCCTCAGACACACAAATTTTACCAAGTGTTAATTGCATTTTCTAGATGTTTCTAATACTTGTATAACTAAATTGTATATATATGAAACAATGTATAGTAATCACATAATTCTTTAGTTCTTAGCCCTATTTATAGAAATTGTCTTACCTCTGCATCTACATTGGGTGAGAGTTCCTGTGGGTCGTAATCATACAAAGCTACCATACGCCTCATGTTATCAGAATCGTAGACTGGTAACATACTACTGGGACTAGTCGACAGTTCATCAGAACTTTTTACTGGCTTGATAAAATGATCATTACCTGTCAAATAAAATGTTTACGATTAATTGTTGTTTCTTGATGTCCAGTAGCAAGTATTTTATGCATATTCAGAATGAAAAGGTGTTCGCAAATATGATTAAACTGTTCAGGTTTACAATAAGAGATGTATCATAGGTAAAATTCATGGGGGGTGTCTCAACATACAAATTTAGGTACAGACGCCCAGCTGGGGTTTAAGAAACACCCTCAATCATAAATTGATTTACATGAAAATCCCTACCCATTCATATAATTAATAGGAAAATGACAACACATTTATTAATATTTCCCAACTATAATGACATCTTATTTAGAAGTTAACCACATATTCATATTATTATATAAAGAGATCAGAACACAGTTTTTACATATATCTAAACAGAAGATGAACATTTGTCGATCTCTTTGACATTCCAAAACAGTGACCATTACCAGCGGCACGTCTGTGTATATATCTGTATAGGAAAAGAACCCCCCCTGGTAATATTAGGATGTAAATTGTCATTTTTTGGTAAAATGAAAATAACATATAAGCATTATGACATAGAAATATATGGGGAATGCACAAATTTGAAAGTTGTCTATCACTTATATTTTTCTTTTTCCTGGTTTTTCATTTTATCCCACAATGCCAAGAAAAACCCAGCAATATCAATTTCTCACTAATACTTCTACCTTTACTACTACTACTCTAAAACAAGCACTCAGACCTATTTTTTATTTCATTACAATTTTTATTATGTTACATTATTGGTGAAAAAGTTTTTATTTTTGAATTTATACAGCCTAAATCCTTAAGCATCATCATTGAGGTCTTACCTATTAATTGAGCATTGATATTAAATGTAGTTCCTTGACTCTCTTTAAGCAGTTGGTCAGCTAATTCGTCATCATCTACCTGAACTTCAGAAACCATGTTACAGGGGACATAACCTACTCTGCCATTAGATTCTCCGCGATAAAACCCGTCAGCATCTTTATCACCAAATATCTGAAAGATAAATAGAATAGTTTTATCATACAGAACTCTTTTAAACGAAGAGGTTGGAACAGATATCTCCTTTTTACCGAGTCCCAAACAATCAACCCACTAAAACAATGGCCATAACCAAGATAACTAAATTCAAAGCTATTTTTTATATTATTATTTCATAAGCACACAAAGTAGACATTAATAGCTGTTATGAGCCACAATTTCAATATAAATTTTACTATTTCAAAATTTAAATTTATAGGAATCACTTGCTCTGATCATGTTGATGAAAAATCACATCTCCAAAGGGAGGTTATCTTGATTATATAAACAGAGGAATGTATAATCAGTTGTATAGTGTATTAGTTGTGTCATTTTTAAATGTTTATCTGGTTAAATCGAAACTAAACACTAAAATAAACTATGTTGCAATTATTTATTCAGTGAGTAAACTAACTGGCTTACAAAAATGTAACTTTAGTGTACTAATCTACTAAATTTGATTTTCAAAATTGACCCATATTCCAAGTTAATAACAACTGTTAATCAAAATTAGTAAATTAAGCTGCAAAAAATAAAAGTTAATTTTAAATGTAAAAAAATCATAAAATTACTTATATATATTATAAAAATTCAATTTATCTGAACTTGTACAAGGTTTAATTCAAATTTAAAATTTTGAAAGCAATAACTGTCCACCATACATGCAAATAGTCTTTTAAAACAGAAAACATCCCTCACAAATTTCTAAATAAACCTATGGAATTTGAGCCATTAAGCTTACATTGCATATAACCTAATATTCAAACTAAATCTTAAAAAAGTAGTGTAAATATATGTCAAAGTGTATAATGTGTATGTTTTAAATCTAAACTAAACAGCACTATGTGCAATGATGTACACATGATATATATATGTAATATTTATTATATTATATTCTGAAAATTAAAAAAAAATTGTTTTACCTGAAAATAAAAAGTACAGTTAATCATGATACAAAAATATATTAGAATCAGTTTAATAAACAGGGTAAACCATCTGTCTGGCAGTCAGTTCTTTGTAAGGCATACAACAGAAATTATCACAAAATGGTGTTTCTACATTATTGTCTTTGTGTATTCAGATATTCATAGAGGCTGTCTTACAGATTGTCTGACACACTTTTTGGGAATGTCTATAAACTGCATACTGCTTATCAACATATGTATGTGAATACATGTCAGTGTTCTCCCCAGGTCCTTAAAGGACCGCGGGCCCGCGATGTATAATTTTTCACCATGGTGGTATCGTTCTTACCGCAATGTATAATTTTTCTCCGTGGTGCTAAAATTTTCAGTTAAAAAATCGTAAATCGGTAAAGTTTTAAACGACTTGTTAAATCTTTTCCGTGCGGTATAAAATTCCAGGTGAAATTTGACCAGTTCAAACCAGTTCAACACGGATTATTTACACGTGATTGATTTACCTTTATGAGGTTAACCTTTGTTGATTGGATTTAATCGATGTAATTAACACTTTTTACATGATTCTTTCGTGTTTTAATTTAGAGATCATAACTTTATGATCAAAGATAACTATTTTAAGGCTTTACTCACCACCTGACAAGTCGGCAAATACTTTGTACACAAACCGTGTTGACCCGCTAGTTGTACACACGACGGTACATATTTTGTACATTATAAAGTTAGCTCAATACTTATATTATAGTTTTATATGTCTCTGATTAAACCATGGACAAAATTATCGTTAATTATGACATAGTTATTGCATGATATTCCGGTTTCAAACTGTCAACAAGTAATTCAAAGGGGAAGGATCAAATTACCCAGTTAGTTCACGTAGAATATTCAAGATTATTTACAATTAACTGCAATCTATTCTATTTTATAAATAAAATGCATGACTGTACCTTCAAACTGGATATATATATCCATATGATCATTAATGAATAACAGAAGTGATCTTGCAATTTTAATCCATAAGCACATGTTAAATCTATTTATATCTACTTCCTGTCATTTAGGCGGGAAAATAGGGAGACTTTGTTGTTGACATTGAATATGTTACTTATAGATCTATAGACCTAAGATAAATTTATAGATTTAGGAATTCTTTTTAAATGGATCATGATAAATCAAGATTTAGATTTCAGTGCAGTATTAAGTCTGTATCTATGTTTGATTATCACCAAAGACAAGAAAGGTTAATATTTACATGTTCATGAAATCTATAGCAAAATGTTTTAAAATTTATGAAAAATTTCTTTTTATTAAAATTTAAGATAGAAACTGGTTCAAATTTATACACAACTTTGTACCTTTTGTTCTTGTTAATTTTATATCTCCCTTATGACAGGAATCCTTTCACATACAACAACTTTCTTTCTAAGGTTTTTAAATTGAACATTTTTGTTCTCTTTTGAATCTGGGAACAGTATATCTAACAATATATATGTTCCTGTTTGAATGATATTTTATTTTTATTGATCATGGATTTTATAAAAGATTTAATTACTTTAAATTTAGATGAATATTATGTAATGAATCATGTTTAATTTATTTTTTAAAAAATATTAAAAGTATACATACTGTTTATTGATCTTTTTAACCAATAATATTCTGACATAACACAGTACCACAGTATTAAAACTAAACAAGAGACATAAAAACTGCAGTAACTAGAAATATAGCAACGCCACGCGACACAACTGATTGTATGAATCATTTTACCAAGCTGTTCACACGCGTTACCCTGGTGCTATCCAAAAATCCTGGGGAGAACACTGCATGTATTGCATCTCATATTACATTGAAATTATTGTGACTAGTTTTTCAATTTAGCAGCTGTTATCATGGTAATGAACAATAACTAATGTAAAAATGTGTATCTGTTGACATACATATCATACTTCAAAGCAATTTAAGGTCCATTGAAATACAGATCCCTTTTGAACTTAAAAAACCATGTCTTCACCTCTATCTGTATTGTGTTCTTTTTTAGCCTTTGTGTTGCTGTCTCAATGATGTTATACACTAAATCTTGTTTTAATCATTTTTTTTCAAATGTAACAAATGTAGCTATTCAAATTACTCAAGTGAAGCAGTCTAATTGTGGTTCATTCACATATTTTTTTCAAAATAGCAATAATAAATGCATACAAAAATATCTGACTTTACAGTAACTGATTTCATTCCACATATTTAATCAAACTCAATAAAGAAACATCAGAGGATATAATTTTTGTTTATAATTTAAACAAAGTCAAATCAAAATTTTCAAAAGGTACTGTATTTTACCTTTATTATCTGCCCTTCCTTAAATGGAAGTTCTTCATCTAATGCATCTGTATTCGGAGACATTGATTCTGGATCGTAATCAAATAATGCCACAAATAATCGTACACGATTATCATCAATCGGTGGATTTATTTCTCCACTGATAGAATCAACGTCACTTCTGTCATCACACCCGTTTAAATCCAGTGGTGGAATATCATCACGTTTTACCGTCCGTACTGGACTATTTTCCCTTATCACCTTATTAGCGTTTGCATCATGACCACTTTGTGTCCCATTTGAAGGTTGTTTTCTAGGCGTATTTGAAATTGAACGTGGTGAATTATTTTTACTCGTTATAGTCCGACTGCTATCAAAACTACTGTCTAAACTTTGATAACCGTTTGTCTGAGAGTGATCACTAGGTTGTCTATTTTTATCCTCACTTTTTCTGATATTTTCGTCACCAAATTTACTATCCATATTTGAAGTACTTTCACTATCAACATGATCAATATCACTTTTAACTCTTGGAGATTGTTTTGTAGCTTTCGGAGATTCATGTTGTTTTTTGCTAGGGCTGTTACCCTTTGAACTAATATCAAGGTCTGTTTCATCCTCGGATACATCCAATGAATTTCCTCTTTCTGAGCTACTGTCCCTGGTTATTTCTGAAAAGGGAAGAAACTCTATTTATGACTGATATTTGCTATCATGACTATTGAAATAAAAAGTTTATAAATTTTTCTTACATGACAATCTCAAAGATCAAAAATCCTTTTACTATAACTTACAATTTGTTTGTGAATAAAGTGGCTGGTAACTACAGCTGCACAGTAAAAGTTAAAATTCAGAAGACTTTCATTTGTTCATAAATTTCATACAATTGATCAATTCTATTTCATTGTAAAATGAGCCATTATTTTATAACGCTAACAGTTCTGAAAGTAGAAATTTTCAGGGCAGGACTGAGGTCAATTGAAGGTCAAGTTCAATGTATCATGTTGTCGCACCTGAGCAATTTTGACTTCCACACAGCTAACAGAATTGACAATGGACAAGCTTCTACATCATTTGGTCTCTGGTTTCATTGATAATCATACCACATCTTTTTATTTTCAAAAGAAAACTGTTGAATTGATAATTAATCTTTATTGTAAGATGATAAAAGCATAAACTCTATTCAAATCTTATTTTTGATTACCTATAGCTGGAATTTTCATTTTTGGTGAGGCACGAGACCTATCTTTGGTGGCTAGATCTACTTTAATTGTAGGAGGAGCTGTTGATGACGGCTGGGAAGGCTTATGGATAGCCCTCGGTGTGGATGTGGACCTTGGTGTGGAACTATCATCCTCATTTAGATCCTGTAAACAAAGAAACCATCATCCAATTAATTATTGTATTGTAATCATTCAATAAACTAAATACCAAAAAGAAAATTGCAGAATTTTTGCTGTTGTTTCACTTTCACAAGCAAAACCTTAATAATAACATTTAAACACTATAATTCCGAAATTATTGCACTGATTTTATTATTGTGGAAATTGCCACAGGATAGATTTTGCAAAAATAAAAAACTTCCATTCTAAATTTTGATTGCATTTTTTCTTTACAGCATTTCTTAGAAATGAAATAATTAATCTGCCATTTTGGTCTATTGTTCAGTAATAGCAATAATCAATGTATGCAATAATTTCGGAATTTAAAGAATTATTAACCAACTATCATCAATAGCTTTTGGTTACTATATGCTGAATGGAATTTTAAGGTTTTTTTTAACTTCTGTGTTACAAAGCTTGCTAAAGCTGGACAGCAAAGCAGGAAATGACACAATAGATAAGATATCTTTTAACATATAAACTTTGTTTAAACTACTGCACAAATATTCTTATCAGTTATCATATTTTTGCAATGAGTCTACTAAAATGAATATTCTTATAAAATATTTAAAATTCTAGATGTAACATATCAAATATCACAACATTCAAAATATTGTTAAAATCTATTTCATTTTTTTTCTGAATAATTTATTGTTTTATTATTTCACTGTAAATGGGACTGATGTCTGCTTAAAATCTCTCCCTTCCCACAAAAAAGAAAAAAAAAAGAAACGAAAATTATAAAATAATAAAAAAAAAGACAAATCAATAAAATAAGTATCTAATTATACGTTTGTAGACTTTGCCTCCAAAAGCCTTCTACAACCCAAACTTAATTACTTTAGTAGACTTTGCCTCCAAAAGCCTTCTACAACCCAAACTTAATTACTTTAGTAGACTTTGCCTCCAAAAGCCTTCTACAACCCAAACTTAATTACTTTAGTAGACTTTGCCTCCAAAAGCCTTCTACAACCCAAACTTAATTACTTTTGTAGACTTTGCCTCCAAAAGCCTTCTACAACCCAAACTTAATTACTTTTGTAGACTTTGCCTCCAAAAGCCTTCTACAACCCAAACTTAATTACTTTAGTAGACTTTGCCTCCAAAAGCCTTCTACAACCCAAACTTAATTACTTTAGTAGACTTTGCCTCCAAAAGCCTTCTACAACCCAAACTTAATTACTTTAGTAGACTTTGCCTCCAAAAGCCTTCTACAACCCAAACTTAATTACTTTAGTAGACTTTGCCTCCAAAAGCCTTCTACAACCCAAACTTAATTACTTTAGTAGACTTTGCCTCCAAAAGCCTTCTACAACCCAAACTTAATTACTTTTGTAGACTTTGCCTCCAAAAGCCTTCTACAACCCAAACTTAATTACTTTAGTAGACTTTGCCTCCAAAAGCCTTCTACAACCCAAACTTAATTACTTTTGTAGACTTTGCCTCCAAAAGCCTTCTACAACCCAAACTTAATTACTTTAGTAGACTTTGCCTCCAAAAGCCTTCTACAACCCAAACTTAATTACTTTAGTAGACTTTGCCTCCAAAAGCCTTCTACAACCCAAACTTAATTACTTTAGTAGACTTTGCCTCCAAAAGCCTTCTACAACCCAAACTTAATTACTTTAGTAGACTTTGCCTCCAAAAGCCTTCTACAACCCAAACTTAATTACTTTTGTAGACTTTGCCTCCAAAAGCCTTCTACAACCCAAACTTAATTACTTTAGTAGACTTTGCCTCCAAAAGCCTTCTACAACCCAAACTTAATTACTTTTGTAGACTTTGCCTCCAAAAGCCTTCTACAACCAAAACTTAATTACTTTTGTAAACTTTGCCTCCAAAAGCCTTCTACAACCCAAACTTAATTACTTTTGTAGACTTTGCCTCCAAAAGCCTTCTACAACCCAAACTTAATTACTTTAGTAGACTTTGCCTCCAAAAGCCTTCTACAACCCAAACTTAATTACTTTAGTAGACTTTGCCTCCAAAAGCCTTCTACAACCCAAACTTAATTACTTTAGTAGACTTTGCCTCCAAAAGCCTTCTACAACCCAAACTTAATTACTTTAGTAGACTTTGCCTCCAAAAGCCTTCTACAACCCAAACTTAATTACTTTTGTAGACTTTGCCTCCAAAAGCCTTCTACAACCCAAACTTAATTACTTTAGTAGACTTTGCCTCCAAAAGCCTTCTACAACCCAAACTTAATTACTTTTGTAGACTTTGCCTCCAAAAGCCTTCTACAACCCAAACTTAATTACTATAGTAGACTTTGCCTCCAAAAGCCTTCTACAACCCAAACTTAATTACTTTAGTAGACTTTGCCTCCAAAAGCCTTCTACAACCCAAACTTAATTACTTTTTCTAAAAACGCATTTTTATGGGTAAATATTTATACTACACTTTGAATACACATATAATACATGTAAACATTTACAACAGAAATAACTGGGTACATTTATAATAGCTGTTTATTTAATATTATACATAATATCCTGATACGTGTAATAAAGTCCAGATAAATAAGGTATTCTTAACATGACTTATACATGGGCTACTGATATAATCCAAAATATTTTTATATCCAGACAATTACAATATATATGAGTTTATATGGCCTATATTTCCACTTTTTTGTACAGATGTATTGATATGAATAATTTAAAAAAAAAAATTATTTTGTATTTTTTCAGGTGATAAGAAATATGTTTATACATTAAAGAAAAAAATTCTACCTAATCACGGACAGTACATATAGATCGTGTAATCATTTCCAGAGTTACAAGCATCCTTATTCGTGCATGTGTTTTTTTATTCTTTTATTTTGTATTAGCTGTTATCAAATAGTGTATTTGAACATACTATTAACTTCAAATCGTGAATATTAGCAATCATGCTTTCTGTTGCAGAAACTTGTGATGTGCACGTAACATCTACCTAAAATGGTGGAGAAAGCCTTTTTTGAAGTCTGAGGTATCCCAAACAAAAGTGTGGTGAGAAGGCATTCATATTATTGATACCATACAAATATACAGTTTAATCACAACTAACTAAACAGTTTTACATTTTACAAACTTATAATACAATTGTAAAGACTGAGGAAAAAAATCCAAACAGATTAGAAGTAAAATATAATTCTAAGAACCATAACAACCCTAAACCAAAAACAGCATTAAAATGGTGATGAAATTAAAATGAAGTTAGTTGCCTGACCTGTACTGGTGTGTCATGATTTGGAAAGACCAATGAGGAGCTTTGTTCATCTTGTATAGAGCTCCCATTGGCTTCCTCTATTGAATCCTCCTCCACTTCAGGAATGTCAGAAAGCTCTGAGTTGCTCGATGATTCTATAAAGTCAGCTTCATAAACATTGGAAGGACTCTGTCAAATAGATGGTCATGTGACAGGATGACAACAATGAAACAATGACAACAATGCATGATGGGAAAACTGAAGCAGTTGCTATGGTTACCTGATGACAATTTATATTTATTATGATTTATTTTAAAGCACATGTTTTTATCATTATCATTTCATCAGAAAAATAAATCATGAAAGATTACAGGAAAGTTTATATCAAAAGGATTATTTTTGTATTTATTTAATTATAGAATATATACTGAACATCATTTATATTAAAGTTTGAATCATTTCTAGAAATTCTGGTAATGAACTCTCCAATTTTGTTAAATCCATTATATACAAGCTACCCTGTAAAAAGTTTATGTATGGCATGCAGTCAGAGATAAAATGCTGTTACCAGAAAATATTTCATATTAATCTTTAATAATTTATTGATTATTGTTAGTTGAATCATTTGACCGTGCTAAGGATGCATGTGACCACAATGACAAGGAAACGTTTTCAACAGGTTAAAAGTAATTTAGGAACTTGTACTTGAATACCATTTTAATTCAAGTATTTTGTACCCTTTAATTATGCATGATCAAACAGATGCATCATTTGGCTGTCCAATTTCTATACCCTTAAGTACCTCAGGTTGGGGGTTGGGGGGTTAATTTGCTTAGCACATTTAATGACTAATGAGCTATGTTTTTCTTGAAAATTGAATGTTTTCATAGCAAAACTGGTAGTTGTTTTAACTACTTTTGCCTACAAGAGGGTCCATACTTTTTTTTATAACTTTATCTATTCCTATCAATTCTTTAGAATAAATATTCTAAGCATTTTTTTGATAGCTTAAAATTCATATAATTAACTTCTGACACTCTCCCACTATTGGTTAATACTCATACAAATGTATTGATTAAAACTTTTTTTATAGATATTTCCAAATTTGTTTTTTGAAGATATTTTCATTACATTTTTGAAATCCCCCCAAAAATCCATAGTTTTCCACTCTTTAGTTAAAATGCAAATATATTTTCTTCCTAAAAGCAGTTAATGGCAGATTTAAACGTAGAATACACCTACAATGTTGAAGAAGTTTTTCTTTAACATAGAATTATCTAGAAGTTTGATTTAGACCAAAGATAGAGGTTTGTGTTTTTGATGGAAAAAATATGATTACTCTATTTCAATAATACTGTAAAAATAAGGAGATGTGGTATGATCGTCAATGAGACAAACTATCCTCCAGAGTTCAAATGACACTGAGGTAGCAATATTGGTCAACGTACAGTCTTCAAAAATGAAAAAAATCCATACCATCTAGTAAATACTATCATCAATTAAATAGGAATTGTATTTCCTAGAAAGCTTTGATCTACTGACTTTCTATACACTGTTACCCTTTTAATCCAGTATATACTTTTTCTACAGGAAAATGCAGAGATATTTATATAGATATCATGCACACATGCTCAATTAAAACTATTAATTGTGTAAACAATTAGTATTTACTTTCATTGCAGTTTTCAAATTTCTGTTAAAAATGTACATATTATGATTAATTTGTAAAATAAATGTGCTTTGTTTAAAATTCAAAAATTATATAGGTGAACTTGTTAAATAAACAAGACATTTTCAAACATGTGTTTCATTAAATACCAAGAATCAACATGCCACAGTGAAAAAGACAAGACCTCAGAAGAAAACAAGCTCTTCTGTGACAAAGATCAGATAACCATAGTAACCAAGTGCTTAGATGACTAACAATTGTAAAGCAAGGCGTATGTATAAAATAGTAACAAGGAAATTGCCCAGTTATCAAGCAGCTAGAATTCATTTTTTGTTTTGTTTAATTTCTTGAAAATAACCCTGAAGATATCCACATATTTTTTTTTCATAACTCCTATCTTTTATCCAGCTGCTTAATCTTATACCACTAAATATATAAGCATGTACAGTTACCATAGATACATATAAAGCATGCATATTCCTCATCTTGAAAAATAACAAATGCAGTCAACTTTGTAAATTTACACAAGATTCTTGAACTAACAAATTTTCTATTTAAAACCAAACAGCCAACAACAGAATTGAATTGAGCATTTTTGCACAGTTGACAGATTTAATTTTATTCTTAAAGATAAGAAGACACATTTAAATATTTAATGGAAAATTGGAAAACCTTTTTTTAGGTCAAGACTTGTTTTCATCACAACTTTTTCAATAAATTTTAAATTTCAATCATCTTTAATTTTTCCAACAATTCCAACACCCAAATGTGCACTTTCCAACTTTCCCTGTGTTATCAATAAATAATATAAATAAGCTGCTATGGTGCTACAATAATTGTACTACTGAAGCTTGTACTATTATAGAAATGTTTTGTTACCATAGCAACTTCATTTTCTGTAACTACCTCTACTGCTTTTTGAATTTCCTGGTCTATACTGGGTTGTCTTTCCTTGGAGGCAGAAGGTGTCTGAAAGTAAACAGATTCATATATAATGTCTGCACGATATTTTAAAATGTCAATAATAATATTTTGAATTTAGTTATTTTTCTCAAGTTCCTTTTGGTTATATAGCTCTACACATATTTATGTACTTATACATCCTTGGCTTTCAAATTATCCAGAAAAGTGCCGTGCGAGGGCTGTATAGCCAGTCAAGGTCGTTAAAAACTTCCATCATCATCAGAAAAATGCCGTGCGAGGGCTGTATAGCCAGTCAAGGTCGTTAAAAACTTCCATCATCATCAGAAAAGTGCTTCATAAGTGTTTCGTTTCTCATTTTTTTATATAAATTAGACCGTTGGTTTTCCTGCCCTTTATAGCTTGCTGTTCGGTTTGAGCCAAGGCCGTACTTTGACCTATAATTGTTTACTTTTTACACATCTTTTTATTTTTATTTGGATGTTGCAAATTTATAGTGTTATTTTTATTTAAAATATGAGGCTTGCTATGTTTTTCTGCCTGCTGAGTGGCAAGTACAGTATACAATTTAAATCCTCGACATTGTACAGATATTGTTTTCCTGCGGCAAGTTTGAAATCTATATTATCTAGTACAAAAAAGTGGTCAAAATTGATATTTAGATAGACTTGTTTTTTTTATAACTTCTTAAGCCCCAGTTAACTTGACACTCACTTTTTTAGACTTGTCTTTTGATACAAGTTCTTTAGCAGCACTGTCTGTTATTTCACTAATCAGGGAATGTGGAAGTTTGACGACTTCTGAATCGGCAGACTCCTGATTATCTGTGTTAACAGTTCGTACCACTAAATTACGTGGAATAAATCCTCGAAAATCACTAGCATTCAGTATCATATGATCATCTGAAAAAGTAAGATAATTAAAGGAAACATCAGTATTCTGGTCTTTTTTAATATTACATTGTAAACTACATTTTATATCTTATATTACTATGCTAAAATGTATGGAAATATGTCCTTATGTTGTAATGTTACACTACTGTTTCAGGTTAGGGTGAAGGTTGGTGCCTGTTAAAACATTTAAACCCACTGCATTTGTATGCATCTGTCCTAAGCCAGGAGCCTGTTGTTCAGTGGTTGTCGTTTGTTGGTGTGGTTCATAAGTGTTTCTCGTTTTTTATATAGATTAGACCGTTGGTTTTCCTGTTTGAATTGTTTTACACTAGTAATTTTTGGGGCCCTTTATAGCTTGCTGTTCAGTGTGAGCCAAGGCTCTGTGTTGAAGGCTATACTTTAACCTACAACTGTTTACTATTTACACATTGTGACTTGGATGGAGAGTTGTCTCGTTGGCACTCATACCACATCTTCTTATTTATATTTAAAGATGCCAAACACCTATTATATTGTTTTGTGTCCTGTTATGAGATTGATTATCCCATTGGTATCGTTAGCCTCTCTTTCAGTAAAGCCATAGTTTGACACAACCTACTGCGTCTAATTCTAGCTATCTAACTATAACTTACTTGTTGCTCCTTTGGCTTCTTTGGTACGTTGACCATCAGCATACACAACATAACCTTTAACCAGAGCACCATTTGAAAATCCTGAGGGTTCTAATGTTACTGGGAGCCACGTCAAGAGTAATGACCCTTCCCGAGGACCAGCCTCCACTTGAACATTAATGGGGGGTTCAGGCATTCCTCCTTTAAGAGTTTTAAATTCAACAAATGCTGACTGGTGACCCTTTGTCTTTTCACCCAATGGATTTCTAGCTGTTATAGTAACTGTGTGTTCAGTACCAGCTTCCAAACCTGAATTTGAAGATAATTTATGTTTAAGTTGTAATCAATACTTCTGTGAAAAATCATTGAAAATGGATATTGATAAATGGAATAAATAAATATGAACATTTTAGATGAAGAAAGAGAAATGCTATGACTTCTACAGGAGATCTAAGCTATTTATATGGCTTTAAACCCTCCCCTAATAATAAAAGCATACATAATTGAGCTTTCAATATACACAAAAATTCTAAAAACTAAATAATAATCATCTGATCATATTAATCATAAGGGGAGATAACTAATTTCTATATTTTTCAAGAAGTTGAGTTTGATGAATCCATTATCTTTTTTTTGGATCTTATGAAAGTATTGAGAAATAGCTATATTATGATAAATATTTTCACTATTCTATCTTTTAGCTTTTATAGTCACTAAGCAATGTATATTTCCTGTATAATATAGTACTAAAATATGATAATTTCCCTCACAGCAAAGCTTAAAACCAAGGCAAGTGACATATACTTTCTTTCATAATTTTGGAAATATAATAATGATAAACTTTTGGCAAAGTATTTAAATTATATCATCTTTTGTGTATACTCCCATACTTTTTTTTAGTAATGACTGATATATTTCTATTACAAACAATCTGCAGTCAAAACAAATCTTAAAAAATAAGTTTATTTATCTAGTTATAAATTTGCATATCAGCTGACTTGGTACAGGTAATTTGCATACTAAATATATATTTTCTACAGGTAACTTCCATTATGCTATAAGGCAGAACGTATACATATTTTGATAAGAACTTCTTCATATTAAGATGTTAAATGAACATGGAAGCATAGAAAAACATGAATATTAAATGAATTTGGAGCATAGAAAATGTCTGATTGATTAAAGACATTGAATTTAAAATAAGTGGCAGATTTTGTTGTGTATATTTCAGTTTTGTTTGACTATGTAACAAGATTTTACACAGACACAGCAAAATTTACATGCAAGACACAAAATTCTTAGCAATTCAAGTCTTCAAGTCTGCATTTTTTAAAGAAAAATCAGACAGTATTTTTAATTGTAGAATCTTTTGGTCTGTACCTGCTAAATTGTATCTGCAGATTGACCCTTTCATGACCCCTACCTGTTAAATTGTATCTGCAGATTGACCCTTTCATGACCCCTACCTGTTGAATTGTAACTGCAGATTGACCCTTTCATGACCCCTACCTGTTGAATTGTAACTGCAGATTGACCCTTTCATGACCCCTACCTGTTAAATTGTAACTGCAGATTGACCCATTCATGACCCCTACCTGTTAAATTGTAGCTGCAGATTGACCCTTTCATGACCCCTACCTGTTAAATTGTATCTGCAGATTGACCCTTTCATGACCCCTACCTGTTAAATTGTAACTGCAGATTGACCCTTTCACGACCCTCACTTCATTTCCATTCAATGATATGCAGTGCTGAAAGTTACTGTTGCCAGGCAACCAGGTCAATGTAGCAGAGTTAGGAGTGATGTTGCTAGCGATCAGCTGACTAGGTGCAGGAACAGCATCTGTTATCATGGAAACAGTTTATATATGATTGGTTATTTGAAACTGAGGCTAATGAATATGTATACGGATAATTCACAATTTCAGATAACTTTTTTTTTTGCAACTGAACTGATGGAATATGACCAGTATTGTATATATATATACATGTATTACATGTTCTAGAAAGCTACATAAAATTGATGTTTAGGCCAAATTGCATCAATTATTGGCAGATGAAACTTTTAATGAAAAAAAATTGTTTTTTTAACATTTGCAAAGGAAACACAGACTAATTGCTTGTTCCTGGTATTATTGAATGAATTGGTTAAATAAAATCAAATCAATACAGAATTGAATGCTGTTTTTTTAAAAATCATACAAAATGAAAGCATGTGACCATCACTATTTGCATGAAGCAATGAAGCACAGAATATAAAATGGGGTTTCCTAAAACCTTAAAATTTGATCAGATGCATAGAAATTGTGAACTATTTATGATATAAACTGCATGTATTTTCAAAATGATGTATATATAAATATATAACAGCAGAAACACATTTAAACATGGCAGACATACAACTGCAAGAGTGCTACAGTGAAAATCTATATTATTTTAAATATTATGATTCAATACACTATTCATGTATCTAAATATATATGTAAGCTTTAGTATTAAGATATATATTAGAGTACTGCATACACAAAGAAAGCCTTCAATTAATATAAACACAAAAACTACTTTTCATATACAGAAGAGTTGAATTACTATGAATAAAAGGAGATGTATGGTTTATGCCAATGAGACACAAATATAATGTCTTTATTCATAAGAGAAACTTCAAACAAAAAGTTTTACGAATTTGGAAATTTTCTCCCATTTTCAAAATGGCAAGATATTTGAACATGGAAAATTCATTTTTATATAAATAATTTCCAGCAAACTTTATGCCTGACTTTTACTGAAGAACTTAAAATTGGATCACCCATTCAAACTAGAGGGATGTTCTAACAGGATTTTTTTCTTCGTTCTTAAATAAATAGGACCAAGTTTACTTTTTCCACTGACCTTAGGATGTCAGAGCACAAGACAATACAATCAACATGCTCCAAATATAGTTTCTTTATTAAATATGAACTTTCCCATTTTCTGCATATAAATAGTCTTTCAGAATTAAAATTCACAAATTAATATTTTTTGTGCAGTTTTTCCAAACTCAAAATAAGTGTAATTTACCCCCATTCTCTATAAATAGATTTTCAGTAGCGCCATCAAACAATCCAGTATCAATACATTGATGAAGACTGCAATCTGAAGTATCAAATTTTTAGTTATCGTAATAATGACAAAACCAGAGAAAGGCAAGGATTCTCCAGGTCGTATTTGAATTCTGACCAATCAGGAGCTTCGTAAGTGAACAATGTGTTGATAATAAAAACAAATATAATATTACGTAAATGATGAGTTGCTAAAGGACATCCCCAGAACTAATAATTCTGATGATGCTGGAAAGACAAAGGCAAATTTGAAAGATATATCAGATGAATATAAATGTACAGAATTAAATATATTTGATATAAATAAGCCCTCACCTTTTCCTATCAAAAGAGTAGCCTGATTATCTAATGACAATCCTTTACTGGAAAGACATCGAACACTGACTCGATGAACCTGGAAAAGAAATACAAAGATTGCTGCAATTTCCATACTTCATTTAGCATTTTTGTCAGTTGTTTTTGTGCTTTGTAATGATCTGATGACTTAAGCCCTTTTCACCTGAATTTTGTAGTTTGTTCTCATGTTGTACTGTAACAACATTGTCCCAAGGTAGGGAAAGGGATGTGCGACCACAAATAGCTTAACCCTGCCACATTCTTTATGTGCCTGTCCCAAGTCAGGAGCCTGTAATTCAATGGTTGTCATTTATTGCTGTATATCATACGTTTTTTTATCTTATTGTCTTGTACATAAATCAGGCCATTAGTTTTCTAGTTTGAATTGTTTTACATTTGCCATGTCAGGGCTTTTTATAGCTTGCTATGCAGTATTGATTTTACTCATGGTTGAAAGCTGAACAGTAACCTATAATTGCTAACATCTATATCATCTGATTTGGTGGAGATTTGTCTCACTGGCAATCATACCACATCTCCTTATTTCTATAAGGGAATAAATACCTCCCCACAGTGCCTCTAGTTTTTGTTCATCCTTGCAGAGCACCCTAAAGGTTTACAATCAGTTTGTCCTGGGTTTCAAGTTGCTCTTTCATTAATTTTCTCTTTATGGTTTTTGCTGACTTGTTTATTTTTTCTTTTGACCTGTGGTTTTTGATTAACCTTTGGAATCCCTTTTTCTTCCCCATAATAACCTTAGAATTTTTTTGCAAATAAAAATGAATGACTTGTACATTTTACCTGATTACAATCAACATTCTCTATCAGAGACTTTGTTCTTTCATTTCCTTTCACAGTGATGATAACCTTCCCATCTAGACAGACATGATATACTCTCACATCCTGTGGAGCAACGCCATCTGGTGGCTGCCAGGTTATAACAACACTACTACCCAACTGACGTTCAAGCACCAAATGTTTCGGAAAAGGAATTACTACAAAATAAATAAAATATTATTTAATGTTTCAAGTGACGCAGGTGTTATCTGTGTGAGGATTGCCTTATAAAATCAATTCCTTCGTAAATTATTAGTTTAAGCCAGCTATATATCTTTATGATATATAATATTACATGTTGTTCATCTCGTCTAATTATAGAGCTATCAAGAATAATTTCAAGGACTTGTATTCAATTGACACTTTTTTTTCAAAATAAGTGCAAGCATCATTATTTTAGGACGTAATAAACAGCTGCGTCATGAATGCATGATATGCCCGTCACTTTTTCAAAGAATAAAGTTCCATAACTCCTCAATGTATTATCAGAAATTTATAAAAAAACTAAAGGGAGGTTATTCTTATAGATATAAACCAGTCACCAAAGTTTCATGAAAACTGCACAAAGCACTTTTGAGTTATTGTCAGAAAGCTGGAAAATCCCCCTTTTTTAATGAATAAAACCCCATAACTCGGAAAAGTAAAATCTAAAATTTATATAAATCGAAATGGAGCTCATGTCAATAGATATAAATAATTCATCAAAGTTCATGAAAACTGCTCAAAGCATTTTTGAGTTGTTCGAAAAATTTGAAAATCACCCTTTTTTAATGAACAACACCCCATAACTCGGAAACATAAAATCTAAAATTTATAAAAATCGAAAGGGAGCTCACATCAATAGATATAAACAATTCACAAGTTTCATGCAAATTGGTTAAAGCATTTTTGAGTTATTGTACGACATGTTGACGACGGACGAACAGACGGACGGACAAAGGTATACCATAATACATCCCGTAAACGGGCATATAAAAACAAGTCTCTTAAATTGGGATTGGCTGATGAATAACTTTTCTTAAACTTACTTAAATGTATACTAAGTTAAAGAAACAGGAGCAGGATATAAATCTAGATGTCTACAGAACCTATAACAGTATGGATTTATTGATTGATTTTTTTTTGTCATTAACACCCCTTTCAGCACACTTGGCTATTTCATGGCAGCCAGTTTTTATTAGTGTAGAAAGCCAGAGTACACTGGGAGAGCCATCCCCCTTTCACAGGAAAACTGGTAATCCCAATCAATTAAGATCAGTCAAACGCACCCTGCTAAAGCCAGGTATAAACTCAACTATTAATAAACAGGGGTGTATACACTGAGAGAGCCATCCCCCTTTCACAGGTAAACTGGCAATCCCAGTCAATTAAGATCAGTCAATTGCACCCTGCTAAAGCCAGGTATAAACTCACCTATACTATAAATAAACAGGGGTGTACAGGGATTGAAGTTAACATTTTGGCATGGTAGCCCACAGCTTTAATTTTGTAGCCCACATATATAGTCCTATACAAGAAAAGCAGAAATTTAAGTAGCCCTCACCAAATTTTAGGGGCCATTGGCAAGTGGGCCCCTGCTAATTTCAAACCCTGGTGTATACAAATATCAATAAGAGAGCAAACAATCAACACAACAAAATTTAATAATTTATTGTCTTGACTTACCGGTATCATCTACTGTACTATCTATATGACTAGATATTTCTGATTTCTGTACACTTAAATCTTCTAATACAGGACTCTTACTTTTTGAATCTGTAAAATAACCAAGCTTGAATTAAATCCATGAGAATATAGATTGATTGCTGCTTGCTTGCTTAAGGTCCACTAGACAATATTCCACGAGAATAAAGTAAGAATCTATTAATGCTTATGAATATTTGATTGAGATATTTACTGGTGAAAGAAACCATAGTAATTAAGAAATTAATGAAATAATTGTAACTAGAGGCTCTAAAGAGCCTGTGTCGCTCACCTTGGTCTATGTGAATATTAAATAAAGGACGCAGATGGATTCATGACAAAATTGTGTTTTGGTGATGGTGATGTGTTTGTACATCTTAATTTACTGAACATTTTTCCTGCTTACAATTATCTCTATCTATAATTAACTTGGCCCAGTAGTTTCAGAGGAGAAGATTTTTGTAAAAGATAACTAAGATTTACGAAAAAATGGTTAAAAATTGACTATAAAGGGCAATAACTCCTAAAGGGGTCAACTGACAATTTCGGTCATGTTGACTTATTTGTAGATCTTACTTTGCCGACATTTATTGTTTTTTACAGTTTATCTCTATCTATAATAATATTCAAGATAATAACCAAAAACAGCAAAATTACCTTAAAATTACCAATTCAAAGGCAGCAACCCAACAACGGGTTGTCCGATTCATCTGAAAATTTCAGGGCAGATAGATCTTAACCTGATAAACAATTTTACTTCATGTCAGATTTGCTTTAAATGCTTTGGTTTTTGAGTTAAAAGCCAAAAACTGAATTTTACCCCTATGTTCTATTTTTAGCCGTGGCGGCCATCTTGGTTGGTTGACCTGGTCACGCCACACATTTTTATAACTAGATAACCAAATGATGATTGTGGCCAAGTTTGGTTTAATTTGGCCACGTAGTTTCAGAGGAGAAGATTTTTGTAAAAGATTACTAAGATTTACGAAAAATTGTTAAAAATTGACAATAAAGGGCAATAACTCCTAAAGGGGTCAACTGACCATTTCAGTCATGTTGACTTATTTGTTAATCTTACTTTGCTGAACATTATTGCTGTTTACAGTTTATCTCTATCTATAATAATATTCAAGATAATAACCAAAAACAGCAAAATTTCCTTAAAATTACCAATTCAGGGGCAGCAACCCAACAACAGGTTGTTCGATTCATCTGAAAATTTCAGGGCAGATAGATCTTGACCTGATAAACAATTTTACTTCATGTCAGATTTGCTCTAAATGCTTTGGTTTTTGAGTTATAAGCCAAAAACTGCATTTTACCCCTATGTTTTATTTTTAGCTGTGGCCGCCATCTTGGTTGGTTGGCCGGGTCACGCCACACATTTTTTAAACTAGATACCCCAATGATGATTGTGGCCAAGTTTGGTTTAGTTTGGCCCAGTTGTTTCAGAGGAGAAGATTTTTGTAAAAGATAACTAAGATTTACGAAAAATGGTTAAAAATTGACTATAAAGGGCAATAACTCCTAAAGGGGTCAACTGACCATTTCAGTCATGTTGACTTATTTGTTAATCTTACTTTGCTGAACATTATTGCTGTTTACAGTTTATCTCTATCTATAATAATATTCAAGATAATAACCAAAAACAGCAAAATTTCCTTAAAATTACCAATTCAGGGGCAGCAACCCAATAACGGGTTGTCCGATTCATCTGAAAATTTCAGGGCAGATAGATCTTGACCTGATGAACAATTTTACCCCATGTCAGATTTGCTCTTAATGCTTTGGTTTTTGAGTTATAAGCTAAAAACTGCATTTTACCCCTATGTTCTATTTTTAGCCGTGGCGGCCATCTTGGTTGGTTGACCAGGTCACGCCACACATTTTTAAAACTAGATACCCCAATGATGATTGTGGCCAAGTTTGGTTAAATTTGGCCTAGTAGTTTCAGAGGAGAAGATTTTTGTAAAAGTTTACGGACGACGGACGACGGACGCAAAGTGATGAGAAAAGCTCACTTGACCTTTCAGGTCAGGTGAGCTAAAAATGCAATAAATCAAATCTCTGACTGTGCTCAAATAAGAAAGTCTAAATAGGATTGAGAATGGAAATGGGGAATGTGTCAAAAGAGACAACCACCCGATCAAAGAACAGAAAACAGCACAAGGCCACCAATTGGTCTTAAATGCAGTGAGAAAATCCCACACCCAGAGGCAAGCTTTAGCTGGTTCGTAAACAATAATATTTACTCACAATCAAAGGCATTGAAAAATTTCTTGCATTAAACAATTTTGACAATTTGTATTAATAAATGCACACATTAATTCCACATTAATTCCACATTTATATTAACTTTATAATACACGGTCAATCTTAGTTCTAGTTTTAGTTTTTGTAGATTCAGATACAGAAACAGGACAGAAATCTTCTACATCTAATTCAGAAGACTGACCCCTATCCCCCACCCCCGGTTTATGAATATTGATGGCTTACTTTTAGCTGACTTTGTATCTGTTTCTTCACTACTATCAAAGTCTAGTTCTTGCTGGAGACTATTAGCTGCAGTACTATCATCGTCATGCTCCTGAGGATTATTTCCTGACATTATTGCATGAAATTCTGATAGGTCATCATCTAAAAATAGAATACCAAATTTGTTTATGTTCATTGCTATATAATGGTTTTGTTAATCTATATACCCAGTAAGGGTTTTTCAACATGCAATATTTCCCCTTAAAAAAAGTCCATATGTTCCAACTGTCATAACCACAATCCTGTCCTCTTTTCCTCCAATGGGACCTACCGAATTAGACTAATCACAGGGTTTGTACTTACATGAGCAACACGACAGGTGTCACATGTGGAGTAGAATCTGTTTACTCTTTCGTAGCACCTGAGATCACACACCAGTTTTTGGTTGAGTTCATGTTGCTCAGTGTTTGGTTTTCATTCTCGTGTTTTGTTTACTGTTTACTGTTGTTTGTATGATTATTTTTTTTGCCATGGCATTGTCAAGTGTTTTTTTTTCACTTGTGAGTTTGAATTTTCCTATGGTATTTTTTTAACTCTCTTCTTCAGTAAACTTCAATATGAAATTTTAAAAGAATACATTCCATGTTCATGACAGTACTTCCTGGGCATGCTTAGACATTGAAATTTGTTTCTTTCAAATCTTTATGTTCTCAGATAACTTTGATTAACAAAAGTTATAAATAAAACCTGTGGATTCAATTATTTTTTATGGTTAGCAAAAATATTGTTGTTTTGAGGGTACTTAATTCCATTTTTTCCATCATTTGTGCCTTTCAAAGTAATTAAAGTAAATAAAATATTCACATTTTGTAATTTCTCCATACCCAGAAAAATTGGAATGCCATGAATATTATTAACAGTATGGTTTACACATTTCTTTTAGGTCATTATGAGTACTAACAAATATATGACTTTGTTCAGATTTAAAAGAGGTGTAATATAAACATTTGGTAATAAGGTTATTTAAACAACTAACCTGACAATTTTTCTATAAAGTTGGACGGCACCAGACCTCGTCTTCCATCCATCAACTCTGCTTCAAAGAATCCATCCTAAAAAATACAAATTCATATTATTCATTTATGCAAATTTATATGGAAATTGAAGTCATCAATTACTACAAAATGTTATTTTCCGACAAAGATGATCTCTTGTCATTGCAAAAATCTTTTGTAATTATAAATTGATTGGTAGTTGGTTGTTCAAAGTCCTTGTAATTATATAGCTTGATACATAAACAGTAACTTCTTGAATAATTAAACTAGAGGTTTTATACAAATATAGCAATTTTGAGGGTCAGTGCCAGTAGTTACTTTGTAACAATTATTTCACATTTTTATTAGTCAGGACCTATATTTCCCATCAAATTGAAAGTAAGGTTTTGAGAATAAATTTTTTGGCTAACTCAGAAAATATTCTTTTAATAGACCTTTCATATTATCGATTTGGGTATGCAAATTTCTGTTTCCAATGATTTTGTCGTGTACAGAAAAACTAAAACAGTTCGTTTTTTCGTCAAATTGCACTGATTGCAGGCTTGATTTTACTTCTTTACATTGCTCTTACTTGACCAAGTACCAGAATGTCCTACTACAGAACAGGTAATCTGTTGAAAAATTATATACTCCAGAGTCAAAAGGTGGTAATATGAAAATGGTCTATTGATACTATGAAGAAAATAGTTTCAATGGCACAAATTCATACAATGTTTATTAACTGACCTCATCCATGTCTCCATATACTAAGACATAGTCCCCTGAGCTAAGTGCTAGTTCTGCATCAGGATTATCATTTGGCGAGTGTTGATAAGGATCGTAGGTATATTTAGCAATATAAACTGTAATTGGACCTTTCTTCTCCAACATGGCTGTTCTATCCTCTGCCATAAAATCGTCTTTTGACTACAACAGAAATATTGACATCAATAAGTGAATATGTGTGTATTAGTAACAAATTACAAAAGACTGAGAACTGTTATTAATGCTTGAAGATAAATGCATTGTATTTCAAACCTTGCATCAAAAAGAGGTACACTAAATACATTTTGAGTCCTTTTCACTCTGTTTTATATGATGGTTATTGGTTTTTTCAAGTTTTCCAGTGCTAGTAAAGTCATATGGGATCTTTTTGTTTTTTTTTTTTGTTGTCTAACACAAAAAATATTCTTTCAATTGAAACTATAAAGAAAAGTAATAAAGGGTTCATCGCATGTCTGACCTACATTTTTGTCATCCATCAAAAGATTTTTGACTTATTTCAGAATAGTACTATTAAATTTGACCTCCTTTCCAATATATGTCTAAATTTTTTTACCTTGAGTTTTATCCTATTGCAACTGGAAACATCAACATATTTTCTAAGACTCATACAATTTTCCTTTTTCTTTTGTCTATTATTTACATAGGCACTAAGAAATCAAACTTCATTTTTTTCATGATCCTACCTTTCTATCAAAGTTACTCTCCATCCCCGAGTCCTCACCTTTATCTGAAAAAAAATATACACAAATATATTACCACAATGTCTGAAACATCAACTTTATATTCAATTAATCTTTGTAGATAATAATGGGGAAAGCTATTTTCAATCTTCGTCTTTTTTTTTTTAACAATTGCACTTCCACCAAAAAAATAAAATTACATTTTCATCGGTGATGATCGTTTTCCTTGTCAATTAAACAATTTCAGATATGACATATCGTATTTCATTAAATGATTTCAAGCAGAGATTATAAAGTAATGAAAAAATAAAATTGATAATATTGTTTCACTTGGCATATATATTCTGTTTCATCTAAGTTCAAATTATAAATCATAATCATGAGTCATAAATAATCAATAAAAAAATACAGTAACCACTTTTGGTCCCTCTCTCTTTTCACCCCAAAAAATAAGAAAAACACAAACGAAAAGAAATATACTTAATTCAGTGGTTGTTGATGGTTCATCATGTCTGTCATATATGTTTTTTGTAAATTGCATTGTTATAAAACAGGCTGTTAGTTTTCTCGTTTGAATTGTTTCTGATTTTAATCTTTTATGTCAGGCCTTTTATAGTTATAACAGACTATACAGTATGGGTTCTTCTGATTGTTGAAGGCTGTACAGTGACCTATAATTGCTATTGCCCATGTCTTTTGAACTCTGGTGGATAGTTGTATCATTCGTAATCATACCACCTCTCCTTATTTTTATATTGTAAATCAGAAATATCATCAGAGATGTCAAACAAACCATATTACTAATCATCAAACAAATAATGCTTCAATGAAGTTGAATTTATTTTGAAAGTCTAAAATGTGTCATTTAATAATGAGAAAAGAATCAAACATACTGACATTACTGTATGTGTATTAACCAATGTTCTTTCAAGTGGTCAATTTGATCTTATCTATAACTGTTAAGTAAAATATCTGGTGCTGAAAACAAAAACTTCTCCGGTAAATTAAATGGAAAGTTACCCTAAGAAAGCAGTTGTATCTGGGATATATTGGATTCAACCTTTTGAGTCATTTAACTCAGTTTTAACTGTAGAAAGTTGATCTGACAGTTGCAAGAAAATTGGTTTACACATGTTTGGCTGTAACAGTCTTCACGCTTAACCACAAGTCCTACGGCATTGGCTTGTAAAATTGCTTTTGGACTTGTAAAATTCTTCTCTACAAAGCCAACAGAATCCAACTAAAATTTTCAAAAAATTGAGCTGTGGGCTTGTGGACTCAAAAGTTGATCGTGAAGGCTGCTGTAATTTTAAAATAACTTCCACTGAGCATGTCTATAAATATCAATCATATATTTAAAACAAATACGATATGGTTGGTGCAGATCATACCATTTTAAATGCATGCTATCAAAATATATATACAACGTAAAGGTGGAATAAATATACGGGAAATAAAGAAGTTATTTCAAAAGATATATGTGAAATAACTAAGTGTTGTGGTGCCATAGCCATGCAAAGAATGATTGCACAGTTGTACAAGATGTCCTGATGCTAAAAAAAGATATGCAAAGGAAAATCTTCGTGATGAGACATTTTATTTTGGTTTTTCATTTAGAATATGAATATTTATGGTTACATAAATATACATAATTTTACTCAGAAGTTTTAAGAAAAATTAAGTCTGTTGTGAATAATTACTTCAATATTTTTTTTAATCATTTCTTTTAACAACATTACAATGCCACAGGTAACACACTTTTGGGTACATAAAGCATTTCATGACACTGAATAGCCAAGCTGTAGCTGGCAGACACATCTAAAAATAAATTTCAAAATGACCTTTTTTTTACGTTAAAATAAACACATGCGTCATGATGTCTAACAAATTTGACCCTTTTAGTTAAGCTGTATTGCCTAACTTTCCATTTCTCTCCCCAAGAAATAATTTTTTTAACTAAAGTTGACATATTTGATATATAGTTGTGCACTTGTGTATATATTCAAAATAGATGTGCATCAAAGTTTTACGTCAGGGATGTATATCATGTTCAGGAAGAGAATGTATATCAGTGGCTTGTTTCTATCGGATACAGTGCCTAACTACATCTTATATACTGTGAACTTATTTATAGTATGGTCACAATTTTTGTGTCAACAAAACAATCCGTTACAGTTTTAAAAATAAACAAGGATTGAATTAATTTGAAAATCATCCAAAGTGCAAATAATATAAATCTGATAAAAAGGGTTAACATTTAAAATATTTCAACTACCATGGATTCATTACTATTCGTGGGGTACCAATCTTCTTAAACCATGAATTTAAATGTTTAAGGAAGTACAATGTTTCTGTAGGCTTGTATGCAGACTTTGACAAAACAACAAAATCATATATTCACAAAAAAACAATTTTCTCAGATCTGCAAATTGGTTGCAATGAAAATAAATGAATCCACAGTAATCAGTGATTGTCTATTTCCACAAAAATTGTTACAAAGGTTGGGGTCACAGTTCTATAAAAAATCAAAAATCCTGCTGTACAACCTTCAATAGGGACGATAACTTCCTCTGAAATCACTTCCTGTGAGATCACTTCCTCCTCGGAATCTGAGGAAGCCTCTAACTCTTTCAGTTTCTTTGCGATTTCGTTTAATTCTGGATCTTCATTCAGATCTGATTGGTTGGCTAAATCTGATTGGTTGACCTTGCCCTGGTCTGGGGAAAGACCATTGGACAATTCTACTTCATCGTCGTCTGCAAAACCTAAGGTCAAAATACAGAACATAATAGGACCATCACCATGTTACAACAAAATTAACAGGTGAGGTCAAAGATCAAGGTTATAACAAAAGGTCAAATTACAAAATTAAAAAGGTTTGGAAAAATTAAAAAACTGATTAAAAGCAAATAAAAAAAGTGGGTAAAGAGAAAAGGGTTTCACACTTAATATATACAGTGTTTATAGAAATGTTAGGCAGTAAATTACTACACTACAACTGCTCCTATCAACAGAAAGAACTTATTATAAACTATATATTGAGGACATTTAGAACAGGTATGGGTTGTTATCACAATATATAGAAAATATAAATTTGGAGAGTGAAAATATTTTATCAATGGCTTCTTTCATATGTCTATTTCAAATCAATTTAGGTTTTGAAAAAAAGATTCTTTTAAATTTTGAGATAAACCTTAACTTTTGATTCCATAACCAATGTTAAGACAATACCACTTTTTGAGATCTTATATAATTTCAATTTTTTTAGAAGAGATCGGTAAGTAGCAGTATTCTTGTGTAATTTTGGGAAAAGTCAGAAAACAATTTCCTGTACTATTAATTATCTGAGTATATCCCATTAGCCATTAATAAATATATAAGTACACATAATTAATGCAATACAGATAAATTAAATCTGTTTACTTTCAATTAACATGTTAAAAAATATAAAAAGATTTGATAAATAAAAAGAAAAATATGAATTTGAAATGTAAATCAATGCAGGCAAAGCAGAGGTCCAATTCAGGGGAAATATAAGAATATCCCTTGAAGAACCTCTTTGCTGTGGAGACAGGTAAGCAGGTAACAGGAATGAAAAAAACTGTATAAAGTGGCCATTACCTGTATCTAAAGATTTTGATGATTCTATAATATTTGTATCATTGTTTTCTGTGTGTTTCTGTGAATCGTATGCTGATGAACTAAATGAATCTGAAAAGGAAGAATTAATCAATTAATGGACGCAACAGCTTTTATTAGGATTACATACAAGGCAATTTCCACATTTATTTCCTTATTAAGGCCAAACATGTTAATTTGTGTGGTTCAAGTTTCCCTACTTATCCTAATTTTGAGCCCCTACCCTTAACTTTTTTTACCATTTCTGAGTATGCTCTGTTAAAGCCTTAATTTATACAAGTTAATTAGAATAATACAATTTATTTCATTAGGGTAAATGTGGATTGAATAAATTAGGGCATTGGTTTTCGCATTTTAATTGTTTCATGTCAGGTCTTTTATGTATTTTACTATACAGTATGGGTTTTTCTAAATTTTGAAGGCTGTACATGGACCTATAAATGCTCATATCTTCGTCATTTAGACTCTGGTTGATAGTTGTCTCATTGGCAATCATTTTCTTATATTTATATGTAATCTTTAAGAACACAGAAATCAATTCATTGCATCAACATCATTGTTTGATAATTAAGAACAATTGAACTTCCTGGTTAATACATGTTTCTTGGGTTGCTGTCTCATTGGTACATGCCCCACATCTCCTTTGATTTACCAAACAATACAAGAAAAACATAGAATTAATGCCTGTATGTATAGTTTGTTTAGGAGACAATATTAGAGAGAATAGACAAAACAAGCTTAAAAGATAATATTGCAGTTAATAGGCTGAACAATTCAAAGTAAAGGTTGGTCTTGTTATTATACGATAATCAAATCAAATAAACAACAAGAATGTGTCCATAGTACACCGGTGCCCCACTCGCACTATCATTTTCTATGTTAGGTGGACCGTGAAATTGGGGTCAAAACTCTTAATTTGGCATAATAATTAGAAATATCATATCATAGGGAACATGTGTACTAAGTCAAGTTGATTGGACTTCAACTTCATCAAAAACTGCCTTGACCAAAAACTTTAACCTGAAGCGGGACAGACGGACGGACGGACGAACAGATGGTCGAACAAACGAACGGACCCACAGACAGAAAAACATAATGCCCCTAGGTTGGGCATAAAAAGACAGAATCTTGTTTAAAAGATAGCCATTTTCAGGGTAGGAAAATATCATTTCTTTTTATTTGAAAGATTTCTAATTAATTTCCGTTAATTTCATCATATTCAAAATGTACTTTTATATACCAACCTGATTTATTATGAGTTGTTGATGATGACGTATTATGAGATTTATTTCGAGGACTATTTTTAACTGACTTTGTTGCAGCTCGTAATTGTTCTAATTCTTCTGTTAGAACTCGATGCCGTTCTTCCTGTTTTTGGCACTGATCTTGTAAATTACTGACTCGACCCTATAAATAGAACAGTAACTGACGTAACAATAATGTTTTATAAATTATAAATTAAATAATTCAGGTAAAGAAAAAATTATTTCTTTCATAAAATTGGCTTTGTTAACGACTTGAAATATGTTTCTTGATAAAATTTTGTCAGGAAATCTTGATACAATTTTTTTCTTCGCATTATTTAAATGAGCAGATCTTTATACGCAACAAATCTGATGTTTATCAGTATAAATACTGAGTCAATAGGAAATCCTGTTAAAGTTTGACCTCAGTACATCAAAAGGAACAGTTACATAATCACATTTCTCGAATAATTTCATTCAATTTTATGTTTTGGAACTAATGATGTCATATCTCATAGCTTAGGTCAATGCATTATACTTGGCATAATATTTGCATATAATGTATTTAAAAACAACAATTATAATTTTTGGTTGCAGATACCTGGAACTTAAACTGTAATTATTGCTAACACCTTTAATGACATTGTATTCTATTCTCTGGGTGTTTCCTCCTTTCTTAAGAGCACCAAGTATTTTGCTAACTCTTTTTACTGACACTGAATTTTTAGAACCAAAATTACAATGATATGAGGACAAATATGGTATTTACAAAAAAAAACCAATAAAGAAAAACATTTTACAATTAAGTGAAGTCAGATGGTAAAAAAAGTACCTGTAATTTACTCAAAGCATCTTCATAATCTTTTTTAGTTTGATCATGTGCCTGGAATGACAAAAATAATATTACATATAGTATACAATTCAATATTACCTTAATTTGATAAATAGCCTTTGAACCTTTTTAAACTGCTACAAAACAAATAATTGCTGAATTGTCATTTTGTGACTACAATATTAAAGGCATTTGATTTGTATGTTTTCAGTATGCTGGTAGTAATCTCTCTTTTTCAATATATGTATATCATATATTCAAACCCAGCATTGGGAGGTAACTCAACTGATACTCAGTAACTGTGGGTTATTACATTGGTTAAGTGGACTTTTATATGTTAACTTTATACTGAGTAACTGTGGGTCATTACATTGGTTAAGTGGACTTTTATATGTTAACTTTATACTGAGTAACTGTGTGTCATTACATTGGTTAAGTGGACTTTTACATGTTAACTTTATACTGAGTAACTGTGTGTCATTACATTGGTTAAGTGGACTTTTACATGTTAACTTTATACTGAGTAACTGTGTGTCATTACATTAGTTAAGTAGACTTTTACATGTTAACTTTATACTGAGTAACTGTGTGTCATTACATTAGTTAAGTAGACTTTTACATGTTAACTTTATACTGAGTAACTGTGGGTCATTACATTGGTTAAGTAGACTTTTACATGTTAACTTTATACTGAGTAACTGTGTGTCATTACATTAGTTAAGTAGACTTTTACATGTTAACTTTATACTGAGTAACTGTGGGTCATTACATTGGTTAAGTAGACTTTTACATGTTAACTTTATACTGAGTAACTGTGGGTCATTACATTGGTTAAGTGGACTTTTACATGTTAACTTTATACTGAGTAACTGTGGAAGTTTCAAAATTATTATTCCGATAATTACTCAATTTCAGTAACTGCACTATTTGAATATATAATAAAAATAAGATGTGGTATTAACAACATTATCCTCCACAGTTCAATTGACATAGATATAAGCAATATATAAACTGATTATTTCTAAAGTTTAAATATATGAGCCTAAATTCATTGTTTCTCCTTTCAAATTTCTAAGTATAAACTATACCTGCTGTAACTGGTCATAGTGTGTCTGTTTTTCTTGTAATTTCTGCACTGTTTTTTGATGATCATGTTCCAACTGTGTGAACTGTTCTGCTGTGTCTTTGAGATTCTGAAAATACACACAAAAAATACTCCAATCATTTTGTTTTAAAGAGAACATTTTGTACATAAATTAGGTTGGTAGTTTTCTCGTTTGAATTGTTTTACATTTGTCATTTCGGGGCCTTTTATAGATGACTATGCAGTATGGGTTTTGCTCATTGTTGAAGGCTGTACGGTGACCTATAGTCATTAATTTCTGAGTAATTTGGTCTCTTGTCGAGAGTTGTCTCGTTGGCAATTATACCACATCTTCTTATTTTTATAATTATTTTACACTTCCATGACATCAGCAGGAGAAGAGAATTTCTTCATTTCCCCAAATAAACTGAAGCACAACAAAACTGTAGAGCTATGCAATAAGAGGCATCTTTATTTTATTCTTTGTTTGTTTTAATACCATCACAAGATATATCTGACTTTTTAGCCCCTGATCAAGCTAGATATCATGCTATTGGTTAGTAACATACTTTTATTCCAATGGATGTCGATGTCTAAACAATAGCATAACAATATTTTTATTTGTGTACTAACAATTAAACTATTCCCACAATCCTTTGGATTTTATAAGAATGAATTTCCACTTTAAAAAAACCAAGATAGATCACTGGATGATTTTTACTGCCCAGGAGGGAATTCCAATCCTTAATAAGGTCAAATCTCCAGGTTAACAACGTGTCTCCACATTATTTCTATTAACACATAGCAAGATTATCTCTGACACCTCAGTTGAAGTCTTTGGTATTTTTGTTTGCATCGTTGGGTTGGTGTCTCATTAGGGTATACCCTCATTTGTTTTATTCATAATGAAATCTTATAACATTTTATTTCAGAAATCTTTATTTAGGAAACCTGTATGTCTTTTGCACTGAAAATTATCTTCCATTTTGATGTCAGAACAAACAAGAGTGCACACGCTGAAATGTCTCGCCTACTATACTGATCATAGATTTTATGTTGATAGTCCTACATATAAAGTTTTACTACAAGTATCACATTAACATTTATGATCCAAGAAAATGAGGTCAAGGTCAGATAAACAAAGCCGGAAATATATGTACGCCTTTAATACAATCATTCCATACACAGAATATAGATGACCTATTGCTTATAGTATAAAAGAAACAGACCAAACCATGGAAATTCTATACTGACCAATGAACCATGAAAATGAAGTCAAGGTCAGATGAACCCTGCCAGACATACATGTACACCTTAAAATCATTCCATGCATCAAATATAGTTGACCTATTGCTAAAAGTATCTAAGAAACAAAGTTAACCAGGAAAACTGAACATTGACCAATCAGCCATGAAAATGAGGTGAAGGTCAGGTGATACCTGCCAGACAGACATATAAACCTTACAATCATTCAATACAACAAATATAGTTGACCTATTGCTTAAAGTTTAAGAAAAACAGACCAAAACACAAAAACTTAACATAAGCAATGAACCATGAAAATGAGGTCAAGGTCAAATAAAACATGCCAGACTGACATGTACATCATAAAATATTTACATACACCAAATATAGTTGACCTATTGCATACAGTATTAGAAAAACAGACCAAAACACAAAAACTAAACTATGACCACTGAACCATGAAAATGAGGTCAAGGTCAGATGACACCTGCCAGTTGGACATGTACACCTTACAATCATTACATACACCAAATATAGTAGACCTATTGCTTATAGTATCGGCGATACGGACTTGACCACCAAAACTTAACCTTGTTCACTGATCCATGAAATGAGGTCGAGGTCAAGTGAAAACTGTCTGACAGGCATGAGGACCTTGCAAGGTACGCACATACCAAATATAGTTATCCTATTACTCATAATAAGAGAGAAATTACCATTACAAAAAATCTGAACTTTTTTTTCAAGTAGTCACTTAACCATGAAAATGAGGTCAAGGACAATGGGCATATGACAGACTGAAACTTCATACCATAAGGCATCTATATACAAAGTATGAAGCATCCAGGTCTTTTACCTTCTGAAATATTAAGCTTTTTAGAAGTTAGTTAACGATGCCGCCGCCGGATCACTATCCCTATGTCGAGCTTTCTGCGACAAAAGTCACAGGCTCGACAAAAACTCCCAATTGTGATTACCTTTCATTTCCAGTTAAAATCATAATCCATTTAGAAATAAAATCTCTTAATCTTTCCTCACTTTTAACATTATATACAAATGGCTACCAATACTTGTTGTCTTCCAATTATTTAACAATAGTACCTTGGCCATCTGGTAAAGCTATTACATATTTAAATAATTGATCCATTTATATCATACATAGCTTATATTTGATTATATAGGTAATTTCAATAGGTAATCATTACTTAACCTATCATTAGAACTCAATAATGAGACTTGGAGTTAACAATTTTTTTGGCACAGCAGTTGAATGTGAAATACTGTTTATCTTCTAATAAATAATTGATCTTTTTCAATAAATGCCTCTTCTTCAATTTTTGACTCACCAAACTTTTAGTTTTTAAAAATTGCTTTAACTTATATAAAATAAAGATATCTGAATATTTGATTTGAGAAATGAGGAAACAGAAAATTTAAATGATTTGACAAACAATTTTTACACATTTTTTCTTAAAACTTAACTTTGTCATTCCATCTCCATAAGGGACTTTCCATTTTTCATTTTCCTTGGAGTTCGGTATTTTTGTTATTTTACTTTTTTTTGCATACATACGAAAACTAGAATTTTCACTCCAAAATTCAATATTTTAACTTAAGTTACATCAGATGAACAGCTAGATGACAATGATAAATCACCCTATTGTTTAACCCTATAATCCCTATACAATTGCCAGAGAGATACCTTCAAAACTTTAGTCTCTGTGCATTTTAGCCTGAAGAAAAATCTTGTATTATCAGATGCTTAAAATCAGATTTAAATTAACCAGTAAAAATCTGAATCATTGAAAATGCACTTGGGTATGCAGCATGATAGGAATAAGCTATTATATAATCTTAAATACCTAGCAGTAAAATGTTAACAAGACTCAATTAGAATTATTGAAAAATCTTGTTACTTCAATTTCTTTGTTTTATCAATTGTCAAGTGGATCATAAGTACCATGTCAAAACAGAAATATAAAATAAGTCATTTTTAAAAAAAAAATCTATTCAAATTGCTGTTATTTTGGTGCACTTTACATTAATATTTCTGCACTCAACTAAGATTTGTTCAGCCTATTTATAGAGTGGTAAGAATCTTTTATTAAATTGTGCTTTAAGCAATAAATACTGAATTTCCTGAAATGTGACTGAACAGTACGGGATATCTGCAAGCAAAGTTTTTTAACAGTACGGTATTGACTGCAAGCAAATTTCATAACAGTACTGGATGACTGCAAGCAAAGTTTCTTAACATTTATGGTATTGACTGAAAGCAAAGTTTCTTAACAGTACTGGATGACTACAAGCAAAGTTTCTTAACAGTTACGGTATTGACTGCAAGCAAAGTTTCTTAACAGTACTGAATTGACCACAAGGTAACATGCCATTTCCAATTTTTATTTTCAAACATTTCAGGTCGCATTCAGATCAAATTGAATGCTTCAGCTTAAAATAAATATACTAGTGTATCATACATAGGTTAATGTAATTACCTTGACTGTGTCTTCTAACTCTTTAACCTGCTTTTGAAGACGATTTCGTTCATTTTTGGCTTGCTCACATTCTCGTTGAGCTTCAGTAAGATTCAGTCGTAAGAGGTTACATTCTTCACTGACCTGTAAAAGAAAGAGAGATACAAATCAGTATATTCAATCATTGAAAACTTTTTTTCAAGTGGTATTGTATCAATTACTAAAATCATACAATATCATCATTAAATTCATGTCTTATGAGAGTAATAATTTGGTTTATGACAGTCCTGACAATTATTGTCCTGATTTATAGATTTAATTTCCCCCCAACGAGAGTTGTTGACCTTACTCTCAGAAAACTTTCATTTTACAAACTAAATACATCAAATACATTTATGACATCCATTAGATCCTCTGGTGCTTAAAATCCCTCAAGGAGATTTGGCATCTGTTTTAGTTTTTTATGATCCCCATCATCTGGCTTTCCAAAAGACTTAATGAAGCTTGTTCCTCAAACATGAGATGTGAGTTTCTATATATATAAAATTCTTTAAATTTATTTTCAAAAAGGAGGTTAGTTTACGGTTTTTCTGTTCAGAAATTATTTTATTCCTCTTTTAATTCCTTATAATTGTTGAAAAAGAATGAAATAAGGAATGAATGGCTGTTTATTATATATTCCTTCCTTACAAAAACTGAAAATATCCCCTGCAGACCTAAGTATATAATATCATATAACGCTACCTAGAGGAGTCCTAATCAACACAAGGGAGGTAATACAGCTATAGGTTGCACTTTGTAATTACAGCTGTTTCACAAAACAAGCCTCTTTTGGGGAGATATATAATATTCATAGATATTTTGTTTTGTTTACGTACTGGTTCCCAGATATGATCTCTATTTTGCATCTCATAGAGACATAACTTGGGAATGTTACCAGTATAAAAACACATGGTAGCGGCGAAAATTGAATTCTGAGGAAGACCCAAAGTGAAGGTAGGGGTAGTACAGAACTTAAGTATAAGTTTAAACTCTTAGAAGTTCAGGGCATATAAATGCTGAAAATATGCAGCACAGCCCTATGTTTTGATCTTTGAATAAAATAGTAGTGCATATCAACTTTCCATTCTAGGATATAATTTTTTACGAAACTTCATAGTAAAAGTGGCACAGATTTAGCCGCAAAGGGGGTTCCTATGGGAAATTGCATTGTCTATATTTACAGAAGTGCAACCTAAAGAGTCTGATTGTTCTCTCTCTTTCCAATTGCAATTGGCATAATACCATCACATCTGGTCTCATGTTAAAATAGGACAAAAAAAAGCCCTTCATAATAAGACCCAATGGGTTCTATTTCTATTTTAGAAAATAGACTTTTGTTTTTCTACCAATCTAATATCTCTCTGAATTATCTACCAGTACTTTTTTTTTAACAAATCATTTGGCCAATGGTCAACCAGACAGACACTTACTAAGATGGAATAGAAATAGATCATGGTTAAAGAAATGCAACTATTTCTTCATTTCCGACAGGAATTGTGCTTGCGGTATTGATCTCTATTAGATTGTCTTGTACTAATGGTGTTTTACAAGGTTAAACTACATTCTGGAGTTAATAATTAATCCTTAGAGGGACATTCACACTACTGGATGATAGACAGTATGTACTAAATAACTAGTACAAACTTTTATCTTCAATCCAAGAGGCTAGAAAGATATTTATTGTTGAAATGCGCATCTGGTGCAATAAAATTGGTACTGTTAATGTTATTAATAAAATGATCATTGAATTTCAGAGCCCACTCTGTAGCTTCCAACAACTAAAAGAATATAAGTTTTACCTGAGCAATAATGATTGATTTTTATACCTGACAAATGTTCTAATAGTTTTCAACAAAATTCAAACTGAACTGGCCATGTGGAGTACGTAGGAACCGCTTGCCTTTCCAGAGCACGTGAATTCACCCCTGTTTTTGGTGGTGTTCAAGTTGCTCATTCAGTCTTTAGTTTTCTATATAGTGATTTGTGGACATGTTTATCTTTACATATATTATCATTTTTTGACATGGTGTAGTCATACACAAGTTTTGAATGTCCCCTTGGTATCTTATGGCTCTTTTTTTTCTACATAACCCTGAGTCAAGTTAATCAAGATGTCAATGAATTTAAAACAGCCTCTGCAAAGATCTGTCATGACATTCATAAATATATGTATTCCATATTGAGCATAATTACAATTATTTTCAAAATACCATTTCATGATAAATTTCTCTTAAAAAGAATAAGTTTCTTTGTAAGTCCTTATCTATTTACCCAATCCATATTCCAATTTGCATATAAAAATGCAGCATTGACAACTTCTATGCATCGTAAATCCATACCAATAAATTATTATTCTAACTACAAAACAAACTATGACCGGGTAATTTAATATCTTCCTGTTTCTAGAAATGTTACTAAACAGGAAACAATCTTTTATGGAACAGCAACTTCCTTTGCAAACTATAATAGCTATTATAATCAGCGTATTTGAACTTTGGACATGGCAAATATACATTTCCACTTTGTTCATCGAAATAAAAAAAATTCTGAAATATACATCAACTTCAAAATCTATGTTAACGGCAACCTTCTGGATTGATGTTTTGTTAAAGACCTAATCTGTGCCTGCCTCCACACATACGGCTTAACTTTTTGACAAATTTTCGTGTGTGCCTAAAAAAATTTTTTATCAGAAGTATTATTCAATTTTTTTGATACTACAAAGACTTGAAAACTATTTTGTTTGAAACTGCTTTTCTTGGTAAAAAATCTATTAAAAAGAAAAAGAGGAAACAGTTACACTCACTCATTTACTCCATGCTGGCAAGGTGTAGTTTTCTTTTTTTGAGCAACTTTTTAAACATGTTAACATTGAATAAAAATTAATATTATAATGTCAACATTTAAATGAAATAAACCCATGTCAAAACAATTTATTTTTATATAACGTCTGTCAATAAAACAAGTAATACCCACTCCGTAATATTTCGGTAAACAGGAAGTTGTTGAGTGATGAATCTGAAAACGCATCACACGGTAATGCTGACTTATATAACCCCTGAAACCAAATTTCAGAAATCCTTGTCAAGTAGTTCCTGAGAAAAATGTGACGAAAATTTTCAACTTGGCTATCATGTGTAAAATAATACAAGTGTTCGGTAAACAGGAAGTTGTTGAGTGATGAATCTGAAAACGCATCACACGGTGTAACTTACTTATATAAACCCTGAAAACAAATTTCAGAAATCCTTCCCAAGTAGTTCCTGAGAAAAATGCGACGAAAATATTCATGGGATGGACGGACTGACTGACTGAAGGACAGACAGAGGTAAAACAGTATACCCTCCCCTTTTTTTAAAGCGGGGGGTATAACAATTAAGAGTTCATTATGGCTATCTATGTTCTACTTAATCCAAGAATTATTGTGACAGATGTGTAGATAAACATTCAAGATAAAGTACAACCATGGCAGATAGGACAGAAGTAGCATTTGACCTACATTTCAAACTAAAGTGCTTTCCAATAATAACTAATTACAATTGACAAGTGAATTAACATCTTCAGTATGTTGCTATCAGTACCCTTGGATTATGACATTAGAATGTGAAGCAGAAATTAGACTAGGATGCCCTGGCTAGGCTATACATATCTTAAAAAGGGTAGACTAGAAAAAAGGATCCCAGTAAAAGAAAGGAGTATAACTTCAGCCAGACAAAACAGACAAACATAATGTCATCATAAAGATGTCAGTTAATTCAAAGTTATCAACTTTTAAACAATGCTTTTTTTCTTCTTTGGTAATGACTAATTTAGAACTAATATAATGAAAATTTAATGAGACATTGGATATTTATGTCAATATTTCTAATAATCTTGTTGATTTTTTATGATTGCGTAGTTTTAAGCTATGGAAAATTATGCAGAAACCACAGATAGAAATCTGATATTTTTTGTAAATAGTTAATCCAGTTTAAATTTTGTCATGAGCTAAATAAAAAACTGTTAGCTTAAATCAATATTTACAGGTGATATAACTTAATTAAATTGACTTAAGAGCTACCTGTCAGGAGCACCTGAAAGGGTCCAAAGTTTTAGGTATTTCAACGCAGACATTTTCTGTAACATTATCTTCAGATAAAATGGACTTGATTAGTAACATGCATTTTTAGTTTAAACAATATTCGTACAATTATATTATAGAAAAGAACAATTACTTTATATGCATTTGATTTTATGCACCAATATATTAGTGGGTTACTTAATAACTAAATGTTAACATCCCTGCACTAAAATTCCAACGCTTTTAAGGTTCATCATAACAAATGGGCAAATATGGCCGTATTTTCACCTCAAAAACTACTCTGTGTACAGACTTACCTGTTTAGTTTGAAAAGTTTTAAGGCCTGGCATCCACTAGATATATAAAAGTTAAATGTATTTTGCATATCAGAAAGATAAAATCTTTTTTGGATTTTAATGGGCATTTTTTTTCGTTCCTGCAGAAGGTGTAAAAATAAACTAAGTTGGGATACAACTTTGAGATGCTCCCTCTCAGGTAACAACTGGTTTGTATTGCATTGATTGTCCTTGATTGGCATATACAAAAGACAGACAATACATATTTACACATCTATAGATGAGTTAAAAGAGTAACTGAGTGGACAGTATCAAATGCAATTCAGGTGTTTGTTTATTTTTAAACCTTCTGCAGGAAGGAAAAAAAATGCCCATCAAAATCCAAAAATGATTACATCTTTCTGAAACACAAAATGCATTTAACTTTTATATATCTAGTGGATGCCAGGCCTTAAAACTTTTCAAACTGTACAGGTAAGTCTGTACACAGAGTAGTTTTTGGGGTGAAAATACGGCCATATTTGTCCATTTGTTATGATGAACCTTAATTAGATATTATGTGAAATGGAATAGTCTTTAACCATTTTTTTCATTTGACTGGTAACACTTATAACCCTTTTGTGCCCAACTGACATTTAATGCAAAGAACATCTAAACTATGTTTTAAGAGAAAGCCTTGTTGAAGAAACCTTAAAAACAGCAATTATATCACCATTGGCAACAATTCAAGTATCACACAACTATGT